ATATATATTGTGTGCTAATTCTACAAACAGAATTCAATTTTAAAAACGAAAGTAATATTTTTGAAAGCAAAAAATAGGACCTTCCCCACAGAAAAACACTATTAAAAATGCCTCTTTGATAACTGGATTTGCAATATGCCAGTCTCATAATGCAGTTTGCCACAAAAGCAACTGTGACTATCATTCCATACATGCAGAGGACAGACAGCACAGCCAAAGCTATGGGGCAAGTGTATATGTGTGTTCTGGGAGAGCAACAGAAGCTTGGTCTCTTTTCCCTAAGTCTGTGTTATGAGTGGCGCTGGCTGCAAAAGTGATGTAATAATAAAGAAAATAGTGCCAATGATATGTGAATAATGCATCTCATTCTTTATAGAGTAGTTACAACAAACGTCTATGCTTTATAAGACTAGACCTGTAAGTCAGCGATTCTGCTTGCAAGCATAGCTAGAATCTTAGCAGTTCCCTTTCAGGAAAATTAATTAGTAGGAACCTTATGACAAGACCAGGACAAGTCAAAGTAAAATTTTAATCTGCCTGGTTTTACAAGTTTTATTCAAAGAAATACCCAAGATATATCCCCGTATCCTCACCTGCTTAATGGGGAAATAATTCCAGAGCAGAATGCTTGGACTACTCGCTGCTTCTATTCATCAAAATGATAGTGGCCACAGAAGGAGCCCCCCCCCAAGAAAGTGCAGACCTTGAACACATTTGGGCATCCCCTGGGCACTGGCAGCGCCCTGTGGGCTGAGATCTTTCCCCCCTGGAAGCATAACGGAATCGCTTCTGACCTGAATGAAGAAGAGATTATAATCAGGGATCAACACAAACAGAAAACTCTGGTATAGTTCACAGGGCAGCATGGAAACATTCAAGGAAGTTGGAAAGGGGGGGGGAGATGTTTGTTCCCATTGTTATGAAATTTTCTGCTACTATGCTGTAATCTTTATTGCTCCAACTTTCAGTGTTTTATTTTCCAGGTGAGGTTTCTCAAGAATGCAAAAGTCTGACAAGTGTCCCATTTTCCCCCTCTCTCTTCATAACCCTCAAATAATAGTGTGGAAAAATGTACTGTGGTTTTTTTTTTTAAAAAATGTCCTAGCAATTATTCCTCTGAAGTTAATCCTACTTCTAGGAAGCTGTATTTTTAAGTATGTCACCCTATGATTCTACTGATACCACCATTCTATAGATTCAGAAGATCACTGAATGTAGCTCCTTGGGGTGGATGGTTCAAAAACAATTATTTTGGTAACTGACAAGGTTCCCTCTGATTTCCAGCCTCTCTGGGCAGGGCTGTGCCCCTCGCGTGGGTGGTGCTGCCCCCCCCCCGCAGGGTACTGTCACGATCAGAACCAATGGGGCTGGAAAGGATCACTGTTTGTCAAAGGTGGTGGAATGCTGTGGGGGGGGGGCAGAGTCATGCACATGCAGCCGTACACTTAGAGGGGACATAGATAACTGATAATTTCTGGGGCCTGTTCCAACAGTATCCAAAAACCACTACCTGCTTTTTGGCAATTTCACCACCAAACTGAGAGGCATCCGGAACAGCCCCCCCCGCCGCACCAGTTTTCAGACTTAATATCTTTACCCAAACAAACTTACATTTTCAGAAAAATATGTTCATTAATATTCAAATTAAAGATCCAAAGTTTCTCTTTAATTTTAAATGCATTACTGTCTATTTATTTAAATGTACATTTTAAAAAATTCTAAGTTTGGCCACTCACATATCATCAAAAAAGAGGAAAGAGATGATCCAAAAGGGCATAAAAATACTGTTTTGCATAACATTTAAATATATTCATTAAATATACTCATGCAAAGTTAGAAATACAGTACAGTACATCTTGCCACAGTGGGGAATACTGCATCTGGTTGCTAGTTGTTAATTGCTGATGGGCAACTTCAAGTCTCCTGCTGCTGTTCTTGATCATGCATCTTTAAACTAGAAGTGGACTGGGCAGCCTTTCAGAGGCCTGCTCTCTGTAAAGTGGAACATAGGACCACCCTAATCATAGTACAATATAGGAGAACTGGCTACCTCTACATTTATAAACAGACTAAAAATGTTTATAAACATTCAAATTACACATTTTAATGTAAAACTCAAGGTGGTTTGAAAACTGACTCCCTGTCCATTATTTTATATCTCTAATAGGGGGGTCTCCAAACTACATCCTGTCCTTATCATTTTATCCGGCTCAGTTCCTTCAGCATTCGGGTGCTCAAGGTGGGTGGGAAGGCAGGGGGTGCATGTGTGTGTATGTGGAGGTGTGAAGGGGGGTGCAGGGGGTCTGTGTGTGCGGGCAAGGGGGCAGGGAGTGCATTTGCGCAGGCGGACGTGCCTGTTCCTTTGGCCCTGAAAAACGTTGAAAATATCTGGTGTGGCCCTCACAGTCAAAGGTTTGGAGACCTCTACTCTAGAATGATGAGAATACGGCCTCAACACAGAATTTCTTTCTGTTCATATGGATGACGTGGGTATTTTCATGTCACACTTCCTTTACACCAAGACTGTGTCAATCAGTACAATGTCAACTAATTCTCCATGTGGGATGCAACAAATTATCTCTTTCTCCTCTTGGAATCTCACATTTCTCATTCTTGTTGTTTGCTAGAACTATTTGGACTCTTATGTAAAGCTCCTCCTACACCTTTAAACTGTGATTTTCCTTATGTAACCTCTATAAACAGTATTAAGCCTCCTCACTTTCACACTGCATTTTCTCATCTTTACTTCCTGGAAGATATATGTTGTGTGTTTTGCACTTTTTCTGAAACATTTCTTCCGTTTTTATCCCAAACCTGCTTCCAATAATTATCAACCTTTTTCTATGATTTGCTGGCTTTTCTAGCAAACCTGTAAGGTCCTCCTTTTTTCCTTTGTATCCAACTATTCAGAGCCTTGCTAATATCACCCACAAATTTGTGAGTATATGGAATCCTACTTAGTTGCCTTTTGAGATGTCAGAATATAAGTTGCCTGTCTTAAGGACCATCTGTTTCCATAAGCACCAGCAAACACGAGAGATAAAGATGCAACACCATCCAAGATCTAACAGAGATTTCCCTGAACAGTGTCAAGATAATTTTGCTCAGGTTTTAGTTTTAGTGATGTTTTAGTTTCACTAATTTTATTGTATTTTATGGGTATTTCAAGTAGTGTGTGATTTTAGATATCTGAAATTTACAGTTTCAACTGAGTGTTTTTATGTAGTTTGCAAGATGTCCTGACTTCTCAAGAAGGTGGGAGTACAAATAAGATTTATACTATTATAGTCTTCATTATTTTCTTAAGCTCTTGGGAGCTCTTCAGTACCATAAAATGTATTATCATTTCAAATACTGACAAATAGTTTCAGTATTATCAATGTTATTTATTGCAATCTGCCATTAAGAATAAAAGGAATACAACTTATATCCTAAGATATATATCTTCAAAAGGTAGCTCTTAACAATCAAAAATTTCCTTCTCGTTTAAGCAGCATAACCACTTATGGTTTTTATGGCTGTAGAAAATAAGGTTACGGAGGTGCAAAATACTTTATGTGATTTTCTTGCACCTCAATTTGCACTTCATCACAATGAGACAAAACTCAGCTTCTCCTACTTCTTCCCCAATTACTAGTTTCCAGAGAAATGATAATAAGACCTTTTAGTCTGCACCAGTTTATCAGTCCATTAAAAAACCCCACAGAAATCTAAGAACGTAGTGCTGTGAAACAAGTGCTACTTGTTTCAGATACTTGATACATGACAATATACCTAAATCCTAATACTTTGTGACATAAGTTATGAGGACAGCTCAGCACATTCATAAATGGTAAGATGAAAAACCCAGAATTCTCCAGATATTAGAATATCATTGTAAAGGACTCCCACTCAGTTTTTTTTCAATATCAGAAATTTTAAGTTTTAATAAGATGAAAGACAATTTTGAGTAGTCCAAAGATGAGAATAATCCCTGCATCTCTTGACAAACTCTAAACTGTTTGTTGTGAGATTGTTTTCCATATATACTTCTAGGGATTGAATTTCCTTGTTAAACACAAATGAAAAACACACACATGAAAGAGCCTTTTAGTTTCTTTTTCATGTTCTTTTGTTGATTTTTGAGACTCTTAAAGACAAATGATTCATGTTAATAAAATAGAAGCACAAGAAAGTTCCTTTTTTGTGTGTGTTTCCCCCTTCAGTTAACCTTTCTTTCACTCTTTGTTGAATCACAAGAAGTGGCTGTGCATATGTGTTTTAGTCTGCTGTTTTTCCACAGAGGTGGGGCTTCTCCTGTTTATTTTTAAGGTTATTAATTTAGTGTGTTTATTTAATCTAATGAAGGTATATATCATGGTAGAATTTTTGGATTATTACCATCCAGTTTTCGAAATTTTATTCTTGGGCAAGGTACTAGAGCATACAGTCACTTTTCAGATCCGACAGTTTCTGGAAGAGACCAGTTATATGCCAGTTTAATCTGTCTTCAGGCTGCATCCTGAGTTTGGGACATTTTTGATAGCCTTAGTGGGAACTGAAGAAGAGTACTGGGGGGGGGGGAGGTTTTTTTTTGCATTTCTTTAAGAATAATTTTTGCTGCTGCCTGCTGTTTCACTTGGTAGTGGTTATGGTTGGTTGTGTTGTCGTCTGCCTTTGGAATAGCTTTCTGTTGTCTTGCCTTTGCTTTTTAGGTGGTTCTACAGGTGAGTGTCATGAATTGGGTAAAAGGAAATCAAATAACCCCAAACAATTAGGCCCCTTTGAGCTAAATGAAAGAACTGGCATAAAAGAGGCGAAAGTGAAAAGAAACCACTCCCCAGAATCATAGGTTTTTGCTGTGCACATTCCTGTATATGTCTACTAAAATTCATATTGCTTTTTTCACACTATGGGATACAGATCCGCAATATGAACCCAGCTCTTCTGATTTTTCCTACGAGATTTCTATTTAGAGTAGAGTCATTCCTTAGCCAAAGACAGTGACAGCATAAATCAGATCTTTTTCCGAATGAGTAGATAAATAATTTATTCAGTAATGGGCAACAATAAAGAAATATTTCCAAAGCGAAAGAATCACAGAAAACATAGAGACAAACCTAGACAGAAAAATGAAGATATATAGTAGAACTGTTTTCTCAAGGACTACAATTATGCAGTATTCATTGTGTTTGGTTCAAATAATTATATATGGCTTATAGTATGTGGCAGCTTCAGTATGTCTGACAGACAGCTGCCATTTCCTCCATCACATGCCAAAACAATGTTTTGCATTTAAGTAGAAAAGGTTGTGTGCTTTTATAAAATGTTAGAGAAACCTAAACACAAGGCAGAGCAATGACTCATTCATTACTCTATATTTAACAGCTTTTCCTTAAATTTACTGTGCAGTCTGCATCAATGAAATTATTTGGTCACATGAAATCCATCTTACAATTCTTGCCCGAAAGCTAAATTCAACTTGGATAAACAGGACATCCTCCTGTTTAAGACTGCATCTTTAATCAAAATCTCTCCCCCCCCATTTCTGTCTCTATCAGGGACATGGGTCAAAAAAGGGACAAACACATGCACCCGAACATGTAATTTATCCACAGAAAAGATCCCTCTCAATTGTCATTAAAAATGTGATGTGTAATTCTACATAAAAGTGAAATGGAAGTTGGCCTCATCTGTGTCATAGTTCTTTATAAGTTTCACCTTCATCCAACTTTCTGTCATGTTTACAATCTAGAGTCATTTAGAAATCTATACAGCGTCCTTTCCGTTCCCAATCTCCATAACGAGTTGGTTCAGGGCCTTTGGGTCCACCTTTCTCTTTTGTAACAGGATTGATGTCATCTGGAAATTCTAAATAAAGGACAAAAAATGCTAATAAACAGGATACTCCTAGAAAGCTTTGAAGACCTTTTTCTTATGATGGCACTTCAGGCAAGGGGTGTCACTAAGTAAACCAGATCAGTGATTTACAGAGTTTTTCCAGTTTTACCAGTGGAACTAACTCCACCCAAAGGTAGAGTGAACCAAAGAGATATGATCAGTACACAGTTTAAAACTAGTGATACTACATGGAGTTGTGCTGGAGTGATCTGTTTGGTGTACTGAGTAATAAGCTATTATTAATAACGCTCCAACATATTTCTACCCACCTGAAACAGCTTAGTGTACATTTTTGCAGCCAAGCTGAGACAATGATGTAACCAGCCTGAGGACAGCATCACTTAAGGCACCTATAGCTTTTAAAATTTACCCTATTTGACATAAATGGGAAGCATGTTATATTGCACAGGGTACAGAAGATGAAAGTTTTTGAACCAGAAATCAAACTTCTCTTTTTGCTCTCCTGGCAGAAGAGGCTATTAGGAATCCAGGGAGCATAACTTTTGCTGACTACAAATGGAAGTTCTCTAACAAAAGCATGTGATGGCTGCATATTTATATAAATGTGTGTTTCACCTTCATGCAATGGCATAAGCCTAATTAGAAATGGTCTCCACCCCTGCTCTAATCAACTGCCATCCAAATATATGATTATATAGCCATATGCTCATAACACCCAACAACTGAACACCTATTTAGACATCTGAAGAGAAGCTGCTGAAAGCTGTAAACAGTTAATGATTCTGAGACAGTATCTGTTTATAATAGAACAGGTAATGATCCTGAGGCAAGAATTCAATTTACTGAGGACAGGTGGAGGTGGTGGAAAGAACACAATACTGCAAAAAATCAAAGACATGTTCCTGGATTTTAGCATTAACAAACTGAGACTCATCTATAATGAATCCAGAAAGAAGCCCAGTAAAATTAGTGCATACCCCATCTGAGTACACAATGCCTCAGATCCCTCACACAGCCACAGAAAACAAAGGAAACGATCTTTAAGAATGTATTTATAAATGCTTGAGGATCAGAAGGCTGTAGCTCTGTTTATCTAAGGGCATGTAGTGCACTTGTGTTGAGGAAGTATGCTAGCTCCACCCTCTCATCATGGCTGTCAACATGAGAAAGTGAATGTGGGGAGAGTGGAAGGATGGTCTTTCTGACGAGGCTCTCCCTGTGAGCCAGAACCAGCTCACATTCTTCAGATGGTTGATTTCACATGTTGAAAGGGACAAAAGAGGAGGCAGGGCTAGTGTGCTTTCATCAATGCCTGTGGACTTCACACAGTTAGGCACAGGCACTCCTCACTTAACGACCAAGTTCTGTTCCTGGGACTAGACTAGGGCGTTAAATGAGCAGGTTGATATGCAAGGAGCAATAATAATGTATAAAGTGTAATAAATTCTGTTCCTGGGACTAGACTAGGGCGTTAAGTGAGCAGGTTGATAAGCAAGGAGCAATAATAATGTAGAAAGTGTAATAAATCATGTGCTGTTGAGAAGGGGCCTGGCAAAGATGCAAGCACAGATTTACAAGGGTTGTAAATGCTAGCAGTTGTTAAACAGGTAGGTTGTTAAGTGAAGAGTGCCTGTAATGACTGAATAGGGATATTGTTAACAGCTGAAAGGTGTAAATGTAGCCCACTGAGCATTTTCATGCTTTGGGCAGTTGCTATTACTACCCGATTCAAGACAGTTGTAGAACTGGATACATCTGAGTAAAATTTATTTTTTACCTACCCACACTTACTTTCTAGTGGCTCCTTCTCTGTGTTGGATTCTTCTGATTCATCAAAACGACCTACTGGCAATTTTGGTTTCCTAAGTGGTTGTTTGGTAGGTTCCACATTTCCTTTTGAGCTAAAGTTAGCACTTCCCAGAGAGCTATGCAGTAAAACTGACCCTGTTGTGTACAAACATAGATTGATCAATTGCAAATTTGTTCACAGAATGTGTACATTTCTAATATGTTTAATATCACTTAAAAATGAAGTACTATACCAAATGTCCAGTATAAATTGAGATGCATACAGGGAAGCCTGAAGCCTAAAATGATATCACATAACATACACACATAAATGTGTGCTATGTTAATCTAGACAGTCATGAGCATGTTGGTCAACAGCAGGCATACATTCATTAATAAAGGTCTCTACCAAGAAATTTCCTTCTCACCTGCAAACAGAAGCATTTCAAAAGAGATTTACAGAAACTGCAGGAAATTTCTATTCATAGTGGCCCTTTTCAGGGTTGAAACATTAACTTGAGGGAAATTAAGAACATGCTTAGACCTTGAAAAGGGCCACTGTATATCCAGCAGCATGTAATTATTACTATTTATTCCATTAACTATGAGCATATTAAGTTAATAATTGGCCTCCTCTAGTCCAATTTATTCCAGCTGGCAACAGATCTTTAAGGTTTTAGTGGTCTCTCACATCCTAACTACTTAAAGAGATTTTAACTAAAGATGAGAACTGAAGTGAAACCCAGTCCTAATGAGACCTTTTATCAGTTACTAATCAATTTAGAATAAGCAAAACCAAAATGGAACAAACATGGCCTGTTACAGGATTAGTACTAATCAATTTAGAATAAGCAGCTGTCACTTACTACATTCAAAATCAGCAGTCTGGGTCATAATGAGACCAATAGCTGCAGAGCATTTTCAGCCCTGTCATTTCCCAGTAGAGTAACAATGCATTTTTGTTCAGTTTATGGTTTAGAAATAAAATTAAAACCAAATGTCCAGTTACTGGGAGGACATTAAGAACTCGACATTGGTACCGTAACAACCATACTCTTTTTTTGAAAATTATTAGCAATTATTACTTAGGGATTTAAATTTTTATTATAGTAATCATCCCTCATGGGTTCAATAGCCGGTGTTAAGGATTGGCAATTTTAGGGCAAAGGGGAAATGGCTGCAAATACAGAGGTAAGTAGATGAATAATGGCTGAAGATCCTCAAGAGTCAAACACATTTGTGTTAGGAAGGGAAGATGAAAGGGAACGGAATTGCGGGGAGTTGAAACACTATCAAAAAAAGTGCATAATCTCCAACATTTCAGAGATGAGGACAAGGACTCTTCTATCTGGTGCGTATGTGGGACAGAGAAAGATCTGGGAAAAGAAAGATCAAGGCAGAGGAAACAGAAAGAAGCTGATTGTTTGCTCCAAGTGTGCTTTCTCCTGTACGACTCTGCCCTTTATTCCTCTCTTCCCAATAGTAAAATAAAGATCAAATGCACTTCTGAGGATGAGCAGAATGCTCTCCCTTGTAATATTAATGGATAACTACTACATGTCGCTTTTAAATACACTTCAAGGAACTGGATTTAAAATGTGGTTACATACAACAACCATTTCAACTAAGCATGCAGTTACATACTAAACTCTACGAGTGTTCCCATCTTCCCCAGGAAAATGTATTCGAAAACAATCGCTTCCCTTTTTTTTCTTTTTGAGCAAGACTGAGATTTAAGGGAGGGTGTGCTTCTCAGCACATTCCCGCCCTGTCAGTAGTTTGTTTCTGAACAAATCCTGTCAACAAAACATGATTCTCTATTTTTCTGTCCAGCTCCCATGTTTTACAGACCTAATTGCAAAGCCCTCGTTCCCTTCAGCTGTTGGAGAAGCCACCGATTTAGACTGGTTGTGGAAACAGACCTAGAGAGGGAGAGAGGGCTGCCAGGGGAGCTTCTGGCTCCGGAGTAAACCCCACTCAGCCAGGTGGCATTTACCTCGAAGTGTACACGTATACAGGATTGCACTGGAAAGGGGAGGGGGAGTAAAAAGGACTAGGAGAAAGTGAAAGAGCAAGTGAAATCGAAAGTTCCCTCCCCTCCAGGCTTTCTTCAGGTCCGCCCCGCCATTCTTGTTACGCAAAGCGAAAGGGGAGGCTTGGCCGCGCTGTTGTTACCGAGAGCCGCCGCCGCCGCGGCCTGGGTGGGCGCCTCTCGCCAACCTTTCCCATCTCCCTTGCACCCCGTCCGGGCACAGCCTCCTCCTCCTCCTCCTCCTCCTCGTCCCGCTCAAGGCGTGGAGGGGCGGGGAGGCAGCAGCTGCAAAGCCCCGAGTCAGCACATCCGGCGGCCGCCACCGCCGCCCTTTCCCGCGCCTCGGAGAGGCGACCGCCGAGGGCGCAAGAAGGACAAAAGCGTCCGGCGCACGGGGTTGGCGAGGACGCCTGGGCAGCGGGTGCCTCGCGGCAGCACCGCCCCAGCCCGTCCGGGAATGGTTGGCGTTTCAAGCAGCCAGACCCGGGGGCTCCCTCAATCCAGCCCATAAGGAAGGAAGTCGGGTCCGAGGTGACCCACTTCGCGCCCGCTTTCAGCTCCGAGGGGCCGAGGCCGAGGCGGCTGCGCAGCTCTCCCGCCCTCCGTCACCCCCCCTTCACCCGTTGGCGCTCGCTTACTGGTTTGTCCCGCCGTGGGGGCTAAAAGGCGAGCCAAGGCGAGCGGCGGCCTCCAAGCCATGGCCGGGCCGGAACGAGCGAGCGAGCGAGCGAGCCTCCCCCCTTCGCTCCCTCGGCTGGGAGGCGGGCCAGGAAGGCCGGGCTGTTATCAATAAGGCGCCGCCCCTGGGCCCTCGTCACCGTCGGGGCTGATCCCGGGCGGGTTTGTCCCGCCGTGGGGGCTAAAAGGCGAGCCAAGGCGAGCGGCGGCCTCCAAGCCATGGCCGGGCCGGAACGAGCGAGCGAGCGAGCGAGCCTCCCCCCTTCGCTCCCTCGGCTGGGAGGCGGGCCAGGAAGGCCGGGCTGTTATCAATAAGGCGCCGCCCCTGGGCCCTCGTCACCGTCGGGGCTGATCCCGGGCGCCTTGGTGGCGGGGGGGGTGGCCTTTGAACGCCTTCGGGATACGCCCGGCCCCGTTGAACGGCAGCGATCTTTTCCCCAACTCCGATTAGCCGTGGCTGTAAGAAAACACGTTGGCATCCCGCGGGTTCCCTGGCGATGGAGGAGGAAGAGAAGGAGGGCCTTGAGCAAAGAGGGAGAAGGAGAAGAACAGCACAAGTTGCACCAGAAGCGGAGTCTTCGGTCCTGCTGGAAGGGCGGACGACAAATCCAGTCGAGCGTGTTTCTACTCATTTTATCTAGCTCTGAAAGAAGTCGGTTGCCGCGCGTTTAGAACCGTGTCGCGCACGGTGTTGCTTTAATCCATTTTTTCCCGTCGGTATTGCGCTCCGTGGTTACTGAGAAACACTCGTGTCACTTTAATTTGAAGCAGTTCTACTTTTTCAGTTACGCGCCCAGCCTTAGGAATATTACACATAAGGAGACGTCTACCAAATTCAAGAATAACCGCAGATATTAGTGACTGTAAGTATACACGGGACCAAAGAATGGGGACCGCGTGAGTATTCTGCATTACACGCGTAGTGTACAGTCACACGCGTTTATAAATCACTATTAACAGCCATAGAAACCGTGGAAGCAGAATGGTGGGACAAAAAGCACGATGCTTCTACAGCAGAAGTTAGCAGGGGCAAACGCAGCATTCAACCAGGACCGATGGTGATTTTCCTGCCTCCCTGGCCCCCCAGCCATAACCATCTCAGCTCATCGGATTTCCCAACCGAGAAGAAATTTTTCAGGCCAGTGGGCCTGCGACCATTCTGTAGATTCAACCCAGTGCCTCAAACAATATTTTTGAGAGCCAGGCTTCTGTCTCAATAATGGTACAAGAGGAACCAAGCCTGGTTGCTAGAATTAAAGGAATAGTTAAAATTGGGTATCAGAGTATTCTAAACATTCAGTGGTGGAAAGCAGACATGGGAAGTTTTAAAAAGATTTAAAAGGAAACCATACAACAGTCAGGGATGAAGAAATAAGGTTCAGATTACAACATGAAGTGAAAAAGTAGTAAAGCCATTTGACCTACATCCAGTTAGCAGCACCAGCTAAAAGTAGCCAATACTGTAGATCAATAATAGGATTCACCGGAGCCTTACCACTGAGCAGCTGATTCCATGGATCTAGGCTGACTCAGACTACAAATTGGTTTTAGGCCTAACCAGTCTAGACTTGTATGAAAGTGTGGCTGTGAGCAGCGAAGTTTGAAACTAATCATTAGCTGTTTAAGTGAAATGCAACAACACAACAGCTTATTTTATATAAGCCCATAAGATGTGTTGTAGGAGCCAAATAAGTCTACCCTTCTCTGCTGGATATAGTAGCCTCTCTTGTGCCATTAAGTAAATTTGCAATGGAGACAGGAAACACAAAGTACTAGCTTAACATGCCAGTGTAGGACACTGCTACCAGAGCATACTGAGTATAGGGAGATAACTTTTTTTTCTTACTTATTCCTTTGGGAGCAGGGTAGGCTTATGTTATTCCATGTATATCATCTGAGGCAATCAGTTTGAATATACTAGGTGTTGATATTCTCAAAATTTAGCAGAGATGCCAATTTCTGCTTCTGCTTTATTTTTAATGGACAATACACTACCCAAAGAACTTTGACTAGCACGAAAATTTCAAATGGAGGTAAGAAATAAATATGAAAATGACTGGCAAATTTGTATTGTATGTGCAGGAGTATAACTGCTTTGTGTACAGGTGTGTAGGCTGATTGGATTGTGTAGTTCCTGCCTGGAAAGGTTCCATTTGTATATAAGGGTGTGTGAGAGAGTTAAGAATTGGGGAAGAATGAGCTGGTAGTGAGAATGAGTGCCCTCTGTTTTGAGGAAGTTGTGGATAAAGGTGTTGTCTTGTTAGTACAAGTGTCATCTAGTTAGTTACATAAAGTATGTATAAGGAACAGAAAGTAAAGAAGAAAAGTAAGGGCTTATGGCTGCATGTAGAAGAGTAACATTTCTACATTTTTGCCTTTACCTGTTTAACTTATTCGTTTGTGCATGTGTTTAATAAAATTATTTTTGAGTTATAAACCCTGGTTAGTGTTTTATACATAACACCATAAGATACTATAACCCCATATATAGCTGGTCAATGCGATGACACATGGTTCATGTAGTATTTGCAAAGTAAACAAAGCTGTGTTTTACCAAAAACATATTTTTAAAAGGGGACTATGAAATAAGCTCTCAGTTTTGGTAGAGTTACAGTAAGTAGCAGTGTAAAAAGGAACATTGGCTGTTTGCCTTGGGTGAACGAAGAGAAGTCCCTGTTCACAAGTTTAAACAGCAGCCACCACCATACATACTTCAGGTTCACAATCCAGTAATAGATTTCGGAATATAGTATAGTCTACTCATAGTTTTAAGTGAACTATGATACAAACTATTCTACTGTAGTAGGAAAAGTAGTATCCAACAGTGGCATTCTGCTGGAAGGAGGACAAGATCCTGTGGCACTGGGTGGAGATGAGCAGCCTTCAGATGGGTAGGTGCCTCCTAAGCCTCAAAACCAGCTCTTGGAGGGCTAAGAAACCCTCTGGAGCTGGTTATGTGGTGGAGAAAGGGAGGGAAAGAAACTTCTACTACAACTACCAGCAGAATGGTGAATGTTTACCTAAAAGCAATTGAAGGGAAATACAGTGGTGCCTCGCATAACGATTTTAATTGGTTCCAAAAAAAACGTTATGTGAAACATCGTTATGCGAAACACCATTTTCCATAGGAATGCATTGGAAACCGGTTAATCCGTTCCAATAGGCACGGATTGCCGTCCTTAAGCGAAAAAACCCATAGGTTTTTGAGCTGACTCAATACATTTCAATGGCTTTGCGAAGTCAATTTTTGCAAAATTAAGTGTGTCATAAAAGGGTCAAAATGGTTTTAAATGCTTGGATTAGCTTCTGCACCCTCTAAAACTGATGCAAAAGTTAATTTGGCTTTGATCTGACTTTTCGTTAATTTATGGTGAATTTTTCCCCCCAACTTTTGACAGCTGTCAAAATCTGACAGCTCCATTATTTCCTATGGGGGAAGAAAAAATTCACAAAAAATTAATGAAGACTCAGCAACTGTTCTAAATGCTTGGGTTCGTTAGAGGACCCCCGAAGTCGTGTGCAAACCTGATTTGGCTTTGATCTGAACTTTCGTTAAGTTATGGTGAATTGTTTTCTCCCCCATAGGAAAGCATGGAGCTTTCACCATAAATTAACGAAAAGTCAGATCAAAGCCAAATCAGGTTTGCACATGACTTAGGGGGTCCTCTAACGAATCCAAGCATTTAGAACTGTTTTTGACCCTTCTAAGACACTTTTTTAATTGAAAAAAGAAACATCGTTAAGTGAAGCAGGGGACCTAAAATCGCATTCGTTATGCGAAGCATGGTCCCAAACTTCGCTAAGCGAAAATCGCCCATAGGAAACATCATTATATGGTGCATATTATTTTCTAAAAAAACACATCGTTATGCAAATTCATCGCTAAACGAGGCAATCGTTAAGCGAGGCACCACTGTACTGAAAATTCATGCCCACATCCATGTGCTCTCTGCTGTTTGCATCAGTGCTTTCCTCGTGGTGTTACCTAAGCCTAAGTCTGATTCCTTTTTGCCTGCTTTCAAAATGAGAACTGTTTGTACCCTACATCTTGGGGGCAAACAATGGGAAAAATATTGCAATCTTAGAACTGTTCTTTTAATACATATACAAGGAACCACATTTTTTTGGTGAATCACTATACATAAGTACACATAGGCACTGCAACTAGTAATAGAACAACGTTGCACCCTAGGCACAATAACTTAACTCCTTAATTTGGTGGGGGCTTACTTTTGAGGAAATATGCATAGATTGGGTTGCTGTACACTAGGTGAAATAAATGAACAAGCAGCAATGTCTATTAATACATCATCCTTAGTAAAATTCAGTAAAGTGCTGCAAATGATTTTAAGTCTATGTACAGAATGAAAAACAAATACCATATGTTAGAGCAACAGATGTTTGAACAGATTCATTCCGAAAGTACTGAACTGAATGATATTAACACACTTGCAATAAAATTCTAAGAATAAATATCCAAACAGTAACCTTCCATATTCTGAAACTATACTCCTCAACACACCAAAAAAAGCAAAACATTGCTTTCTCTCAGTATGTTAGAAGCTTTTTCCATTTATTAATGCAAGATGCAGTAACACAACGCTAAAAATTAAACATGCACTAGATATACAAATTTATATTATCTGAAAATATCTCATCATTACAGTTAGTAAATGCACAAGACCTTCTTTTCAACTTCCAGTGCATTACTTTTTGAAGCAAGTAAAAGGGTTCAATATTGAACCTAACGCTGTTCAGCACCAATAAGAATTCAATAGACCTTTAACCATTCCTATATAATAAAAACATTTATCAGTATCAGTAAAGTTTCCCATTTTGTTCAATTTCAAGATGCAACTGACTTCTATTTACAATAGTCTCTTGTTCAATAAAATGTAGTATTTAAAAATCTATATTCATAAAAGTATTGCAGTAATTTATAACTTGCTTTTTAAAAATGTACATACAAGGAAGTCCCATGTAAAAGGTTCACTGAAGAATTGAACCAATAATAAGAGCAATTTTATTAAACTTAGCAAAACTCCATTCGAAGGCAGCTCACATTTGAACATTCAAAAATCCTTAATTGCTGCTTGCTTATGAAAACTAAAGTTCCAGTAATAAAGATGAAAATGTAAACCAACATGCTATTGAGATCAGTAGGAAAATGTATCCACAGGCATAGCATGTTCAGTAATGATTCTATAGAAAACAGAATGTAGTGATATAATAGGTGATTCAAAAGAATGGTCTTGAACAGACCTATAATTATTGTAATTATTTTAGCAGCAGTTTTCTTCCAGTTCAGCTTTCTACAATACTAAATAGAACTATTAAATTTAATACCTTCTTAGACTTGTTAAAATTCATCACATAACATGACCTTCTGTAGTCTAAGAGCCAAACAGACCTACCAACTGTACATAACTGTGCTTGAATCTCAGTTCTGAAATAATTAGGTACCCAAAATAAGAAAAATAGAAAAAAGTAAAAACAAACATTTTAAAAAAATATTGCACAGCCACATTACCTAGAAAGTAAAACTGATGTTAAAAAAGCTCTTCACATGGATGATATAAATTACCTTCCATATAAAAAAGTATAAATATCTCTTAAAATACAGCGGCAGCTACAGTTTTAATATCACACATTATTTGAATCATCTGTTAATGAGGTAATAGCCAAGTCAGTTATGATGTTTTTCTTCCTACTGGAAATATTTGAGGCCTGCAACCAGGAAAAACTTTTCCAAAAATATGTCCGAATCCAGAACAGCAATGTGTGCAGCTCTTCCGATGAGAGAATCAGCTGTGTTTGGCAATGCACAATGCACATTATAACGAACTAAACAACATTCCTTGTTTTGAAGAACAGGCAGAAGCAGATTCTGAATCATTTCAGCATATATTGGTCCTGTATATTAAAAAAGGAAATAGCATTATTCATACAATTAAACCCTTGTATCTTTCCTTTCCATCAAACACCTTAAAGGAAATGACAAGGGAGTAACAATTTTAAAGCATTGTAGCATATAGGGGGAAAAACACAGTTGTGCTCATTCAGGTTAAAGTCCCATCCAAATCCAGGATTCTGTTCCCACTATGACCAATCAGATGCTAAGAAAATGTCAAAGTAACCTTATTTGCTATTATTCTAACCATTGGCAGTTCGCAAAGCGGCTTTCCTATGGCCGATCTTCGCTAGACAACGACGATTCTTCCCCATTGGAACACCTTAAACAGGTTTCAATGCATTCCAATGGGGAAATGCTTTTCGCTAGACAATGATTTCGCTAAACAGCTATTTCAGTGTAACGGATTATCATCCTCTAGCGAGGCACCACTGTATCATTTTGCTTAATTCTTAATTTTTAGTCCTAAATACAACAAAGTTCAAATGGGCATAACCAGAAGCAGTCTGACAAAGACAAGCAGGCAAGGGTTGAACTAAAAGCTTAGGCCATTCCAGTATATAACTGCATTTTTGCCTAGGGACCATATGTGTCAATAAAATAAAATAACAGTCCTTAGCGTTTTCCTTTACAAGAAAAATAAGGAAAAGTTCTGTTTTGTCATATTGAACAGGGTTTGGGGGCTAGAAAATTGATTTCTTCTATGTACATCTATGTCATGGGGCACTGAGGTGCCATGAGCCACCCCTGTGGATTATTTTGGGGCAAGTGGCAAGAATCAGCCTGAAAAGCAAGGCCAACAAGGGGCAAGAAGCACAGGCTGGCCTAGTCTGTAAATCAATTTTCAGGAGAGACAGAAATGGGTTCCTAGACATGGGGACTCCCCCCTCCCCCTTTCCTGCAGCAAATTACTAGTTCCTAGTTCTGATTCTCTACCAGCTTATCTGCTGTGTGGTTCAGTCCCTAAACCGACATAACCTTTGAGAATGCTGATGAGTGTCGTGCTATACCCTCACTATAGTGCAAACTGCCAACTCACCCTAGAGGGGAGGGTCAAGATGACAGAGGACTGATCTCATATCACTGTAACCCATGAATACTAAAATATTCAACCTATGGATGACAGAGATGTCTGGTAGTATCTGCTGAGGACAACAGCCTCAGGATTCAACATCACCCCATGAAAAGATGGAAGACCCAATAGTCTTCCATTTTATGTGTTAAAAGATACATCCTTAATATGAAATTTCTGAGGATTACTGCCCTACAGTGACATTCTTCAGGTGTCAACAGAAGCATTATTAAATTACATGCACTGAAAATAAGCTGCCCTAAGTCTCTATGAGGAAGAGGGGATATAAACAAAGAGGAAGAGGAGGAGGAAGAGGCATATTCTCTCTAAGGGACAGATACTGTTTCACATATTGGATATTACCTGTCTGTTTATCTTTCAAAGCTGTTTTACACATCTCAATGCGTGCAGAATGATAAGGAACATAGCGATCTTGAAGAGATCCTACTAATACTATGTTTCTGAAATACTGAAGACCTGTGAGAAACAATAATGGTAGATATAAAACACAAATTTTAAAAATGTAACACATATTTTATAAACTGCTGGTTCAGAAAGAAACATACATAATAGTTTCTTGCTGACTAAGAAACATTACCATATTTTTCACTCCATAAGATGTGCCCCCCCAAAAAAAAGTGTGGGGGAAGTGTGTGCGTCTTATGGAGCGAATACTGTAAAAAGGGTTCAAAACCTCTTCAGCCACCACCACCCAGAAGCCTCCCGCCGCTGTGCTGGGAGGCCTCTGAACTGGCACAAGAGGCTGCTTGCCATGACAGCTGCATTGGACCTCGCCACTCTGCCATCTGCGCTGCTGGCTTTCCAGGATCTGCCTCCTGGAGCCCACCTGGAAAGCCAGCAGGGCCAACAGCAGCAAATTTAAATGGCAGAGGGCAGTGAAAACAGCCAAGGACCAAAGGGGAAAGAAATCAAAGTGATTCTAGAAAGACCAGGGGAAAGCGCAAACACAGTCCCCCACTGCCACAAATTATGCAGCTGAATTTCCCACATTTGGAGAAATCACAGGGATCAGCACGCCTGAGGTGCAATGGATGAGCTTCACCCTGGAAAAACCACTTTCATGATTATGGTATCTCCCCTGCCAGGTAAATATGAGTTGGAGTGGCCTCTACATCCAAGACTGAGACCCACTGCATTTCTAAAGGCAGTGCAGGCAGGGGAATCACTTTTCCCTTGCAAAGGCGGTCTCAGTGACTTGGATCTGGCATTCCCCCTATTTCTCTCCCTAACAGCATGGGAAGAGAGCTATTTGGTTCGGAATATTTTTTTCTGCTTTCCTCCCCTAAAAATTATGTGTGTCTTATAGTCAGGTGCATCTTATGGAGCGAAACATACGGTAATTTTGTAAGGCAAATTAGACAAATATATAAAGAGGAATAATCAGTATTTTGGGGATATGCAGTTACTTTCAAACGATTCTCACAAACTTGGAAACCTATTTTTATTAAATAAAGTAAACTACTATCAGTTAAGCTAATGAAATTTACAGGCATTTACTACAAAAGAGGTGGATAAGGTCAATATAAGCAGAATTAGGTAGACTGAAGGAATTATGTTAATAGGAATAAACTGAAGCATTATTCAAATGTGAAGTTATTCTATTAGGGTCTTAAGAGATGCGATCTTCCTATAACAACTAATTAGAAAATACAATTGTGCATGTGGAGGAGGGGGAGGGGAAATGTCCTTCTGCTCATGGGCATGGGGAGCTACTGCTAAAATAGGGTACTGGAAAGTTCCTGCAACACTGCCTTCTAGGGAAGAAAAGGCTATCATTCACCAGCTGAGCTTTGAATTTATCAGCCAAAATAAAGCCAAATAGATGAAGCATTAACCTTAATATACATGGTACTGATAAAACCTAATCCACACAAATTCCAGGGAAGAGATGTGCAAACCAAAAGAGAGTGAGGAGCAAGGACAGCCATTCTGTGGGAGACAGATAAAGCTAGCCTCCTTGAGGGCTTAGGGGAATCTGGATTGCAAGGCAAAGGGAGAAATGTGTTTTACATATACAGTGGTACCTCGCAAGACGATTTTAATTTGTTCTGCGAAAATCGGCGTCTTGTGAAAAAATTGTCTTGTGAGGTTCCCTATGGGAACCTTGCAAGACGAATGAAATTTATTCATCTTGCGAAACATGGGTCTCAAAAAAAAGTGTTGCAAAGCATGGCTACAGAAAAAACTGTCTTGCGAAGTGCCATAGGGATCGTGAAAACCAATCGTCTTGTGGGTTTTTTGCCCCGCGAGGCAATCGTCTTGCAAGGCACCACTGTATTATAGTTCTCTGTTTTGTTCAGGGAAATCCACTGCATTTATAGTGTACAAACATAGTAGGAAGCATGTTTATAGGAAGCTTGTTTACAAGACTGCATGATGCCAGAAACGGAATAAATTTCAAAAGGGTTAGTTCTGGGACTAAGGGTATTCTGAGACAAAGAACCATAAATTAGACTTGGTTGGAGAAAAGATATTTCCAATGGAACCATTTCTGTTTGCATGTCTTTGCAAACCCCATGTCTAGCACACAGTGATTACAGATCTAATCAAGTCAGCCAAAAGGCACAGCTGTCCTTACCATTTTAGGAGTTAAACCAAATGGAGGAGGGGCTTATTCCCATCCTACACCCACCCTTCCATTTTATTCAACAGTATTGTGAGAACTGGGAGTTTTGTTCAAGTGGTGCAACACAGGCTACGTGTCTTGGATCTCAAAATCCATGTAAAAGCATAACAAGCTTCTCTGGTCCAACAAATGTTTTGAATTTATCAATTTCTTGTCTCAATAGGTAAGTTGTGTATCTTTAAAGATCAGTATCACATGCAGAATTGAATTACTGACTGCACTGGTATGAAGACTAACCACTTTGTCCTCAGATAATACATGGTGTGTAAACTGAAGGATATGATTCATTACAGACAACAGAATAATCTTATAGATGTTGATGTAACCTACCTGCCTTTCTACTCAGTTTGTACAAGAAGGTTTGCCGAGGGTCTGAATGATCTCGACAGGTCAACTGTAGTAAGGACCCTGACTTCTTCCACTTCTGCATAAACCAGAGACCTGCATTTTTAAGTACAAGTACATATAAGTATACGCAGATAATCATGTATATCATTACCATATACTTAATGTAGCATGACATTAATAAATAATCCACCAACTAAGGTTCACAATATTCAAGGAGTTTGGTGGATCTATTTGCTCCTGTTCTTCTACCTATGCTGGTATAGCTCAATGAGTTGGAACACCTGGAGCCAGCAGTACAGATCCCCACTGTGCCTTCTAAGAAAGTACACAGCAGAGATCACCTATAATGGGTTATATTTCGAAAGACTGCTAAACCACTTCTGTGTAATCTGTACCTAGAAAACCCTGGGAGGGTTAGTGTAAATATACTCAAATTATGAACATACCTAATGAATAAAATATATCAAAAAGACAAAATTTTAATTTAAGGCAAATCAGACTGTATATCCAAGTCAATTAAAATGCTTCAAAGCAATGAAAACACTTGTCACACTGCATTTTGATCCTTCATTTTGAGGATTTTTATCACTGTTGTCATCATCATAGAACTGCAGAGCTGGAAGGGACCCTATGGATCATCACGTTCAGCCCATCAAGGAGGCACAGCAGAGAATCGAACTGCCAACCTCTGGCTACCTAAATCACAGAACTATCCAGCAGTATTTATCCTTAAAGCAGAGATGGGCATCATGCAGTCTGCCAGTCGCATGCAGCACCTGCCTGCAACTCTCCCATACCCCACAATATTTTTCTAAATGAATGCTTTCAGCAGTGTTTTTCTTTAAAAGTCCCCTTGTGTCCTCTATGGGGTTATGCGGGGGCAATTCTGCCCTCCTTTGAGAGGTCCACCAGCACCCCAGAGACCAACACACACAACACACATAAGTTTTAAAATTGATTTTTGCCACTAGGTGGCATAAGAGAACTTTTTCAATTAAAAAACAAAACAACACATGCACACCCTACAACACTAGGGTGTGTGTGGGAGTGCCCCTCCCACTGAGGGATGTGACTGTGTAGCCTCCAAGCTCCTCTGGAGGGCCCACCCCACCATACAGAGAGGCCCGGAAAGAATGAACAAGAAACCGGGCCTTCTCGGCGGGGCCCCTCGACTATGGAACAGCTTGCCGCCAGAGATTTGCCTGGCACCCTCGCTGGGTGTTTTCAAGAGCCAATTAAAAACTTGGCTCTTTAGGCAAGCCTTCCCTCCTGCCATTACTTGACTTTTACTTTTCTTGTTCTGCTGTTTATTCCCATCTTGATTATAGTATTATTGTTGTTTTTAACTTGTTTATCCATAATATATTGTGAGCTGCCCTGAGTAGACTTCTGTCTAGAAGGGTGGGATAAAAATCCAATAATAAATAAATAAAAATAAAACCATATCAGCATTATCAAATAAAAGAAAACATAATGCCTATTATCCTGAGCTGTTCTCACTGCTGCTGGTATAAACATTTAGGGCCCCCAAACAAACAACAACCCCCCCAAGCTGAAGCTATGTAGTATATTACATGGTTTCTTTTCACACATGAATCTGATAAGCAGCCCCTTTTCAAGTTTTATACTAATTAGAAGCCAGAATGGTTTCCACAAGAAATGCAGCCTGCTTGGTCGTCTCCCAGGATTGCTAGAGTGCCATTCCACAGGCTGTCCAATTATTTTTCTCTCTGATGCTATTCCAGAATCAAGTTAAATTGGCTTTGCTCTGCTGAATATTTGAAAACTGACCATTGGTATTAGCATTTTCTGTACAGTTATTCATAAGTGTTGGTCTTTTATTAACAAATTTATTGATTTTGTTGTCTCCTCCTCTTGTCATTTTACCGTTGTTCATGTGTATATATCCCTGTTTAAAACACACCATTTTGGGGGAAATCAGTATGTGTATTATGAGAATACACATTATAATCAAAATTCTCAACAATTTCTTCAGTGCAGCATCCCACTGTGACAAAAATGATGAAGTTTGAAACTTGATTGTCCAGCTCTCTTTCTGACATTAAACAGCCACATGTTTGTGGGAACTCCAGCGTACATGAGCTTCTTCATGTAGTTTCATGGCAGAGAAGCAACTCTGCAGCTATCCAGTTAAATATATATCAACAGTGAGTTAACAAGTGTACCACATTAATACCACTTCAACTTTCAACATGAGCACCAAAACTTTTTTTACCTGTATTGACAAGAGCACTGCTGTTGTAGAGTGTACCAAGATGTGGTCCAGACAGAGACAGGAAGGTGTAAAGTTTGTTGAGGTAATATTTAAACCTAGGCCTTGTAAGCACTGAGCGGATTATTAAGTTTCCTAATGAATGCCCGATAAAACTGAACAAAACAGAAGAGAGTATGACATTTTGGCAAAACACTTTTAAAGACATTTGCAAGTAAATACAGCAATGTTATCTCACTGCTGCAAAACAGATCTGTAAACAGCAGTAAATGTTTCTTGGAAAAGTTATATTTTTGGCTACAGTTCCTAGAATCCCACCCACCCCGAACCTGACTACTAGCTATGCTGGCTTGATGATTCTGGAAGCTGAAATCCGGACACAATTTTTCAAGTACTGTACTGTAAACAGTATGCTTTCTCTGAAAATGTCAAAACAGCTTTGCAAAGAGTAATATAAAGGGAACTTCAAAAGCTTTAAAATGATCACTAGTAGTAACTGGAAGGAAACAGGTTAGAAGGCATGCTTTGCCCTTTTTCAACTAAGAAAGTAATGTGCTTTTATTTTTGTTAACTTGAGAGGTTTCCTCAGTATTACATCCGTATGCAATCCACTTGTTTTCTACAGCTTCAATTACAGAAAAAGGGAGTGTTGCATATACTTTAAAAACATACAGTTATAACTTTTTTTAAAAAACTAAGTTTTCAACTGATATTCTACATACAGTGTCTACTCAGCAAGCATATGATCACTCTGGTTTTTCTTCATACCCTTGGAATCTAGGTTTTTGAAAAACTGTTTCTATTTCTGCAAACCTCTAGATTCCCTCAAGTATGTTGACACTTCCCTCTTGCTTCCCAGTGGTTCTATTTTCATTTCCAGCCAATTCAGTACATGAATTATCTTCTGTTCTTGCACCTAAGCCTGCCATTTCCACTGACACCCTTCTACAAATACACTGTCATAACCAGTTGGGTTGGATATAGCTGTTCCCAGTATTTCCTGCAGCTAACAGAAGTGACCTAGCTTCTTTGCAAGCTCCCTGTTTTGTTTCAAATTTCCTGTTGATCTCAGTGCTACTATAGATGGTTTCATTTTATTTTATTTATTTATTTATTGGATTTATACCCCGCACCATCTGGTAACCAGGCCACTCTGGGTTCTTGCTTTCATGTGTTCAAAAACAGTGGCTTAGAACCTGAATAGCACTTCATTCAACGCTGTTCCAGAGCCAGTTTTTAACAGCATATGAGGAATAAATGAAAACAGATTCTCCCTTGCTTGTACTGGGGGAACATTCAGTGCACACAATTCTGCTAATGGAAAGAGGAGGTGAAGAAAGAGCAAGGTAGAGATGGGGAGGTTTAAAGAACCAAAACTGTATATCAGGCTCTACAGGCCCACAATGAAAGATGAGGACCTTCCTTCCTTCCATAATAGTTCCATACTAGCACGGCTGAGGGAAGTACAGTGGTACCTCGCTAGATGACGACATCGCAAAATGACGAATCTGCATGACGATGAGGTTTTGCGAATGCTATAGCAATTTGCAAAACAGTGATTCCAATGGGCGATTTTCGCTGGATGATGTTTGGGTCCCTGCTTTGCAAACCGATTTTCACAAGATGACCATTTTGCTACTGATCGGCGCTTTGCAAAATGGCTTCCCTATGGGCGATCTTCGTAGAACGACGAGGATTTTTCCCCATTGGAATGCATTAAATGGGTTTCAATGCATTCCAATGGGGAAAGGGTTTTCGCTAGATGATGTTTTAGCTAAACAGCGATTTCAATGGGACGGATTATCGTCATCATGCGGGGCACCACTGTATACCTCCTCTGGATATCTGTGGGGTTTTGGATCTAGGATCCAAAAGCCACTGGTGCCCTCTTTCTATAAAGTCTAGGAAAGACTAATCACGCACTAGAACAATTACCTGATTTTTGAAATTGTTAGGTTGTAAATTTGAATATATTGTATTATTTCATCCAGAAGACGATCTGTCATTGAATCAAAATCAGCAAATGTATCGTTCTGTAGGGGGGGAAATGTCATTGTTTAGAAACAAAGTTGTTTTCTTATGCACATAAATAGTAACTGCCATCAACAGCGTAGATGAGAAGAACCAAAGTAGCAATCCCATGAAGAGAGAACCCTTATGGAAATAAATAAACTACTTTGTGTACAATGCATTCTCCTGGAAAACAGTTTGCTTTAATGCCTTAGAATAACCACATGAAACATACAGAATCACATATTTTATATGGTGTCTACTTAAATAAGAGAAAGCTTTGCTTTCATAATTCAGTCAAAGTACATTAAAAGAAATCTTGACCCACAGTTCAATTTAATCCATTCCATGCCCAGTTACCTAAATGAAATAGTGAAGGGTGTGGGATGCTGCTGGCTGCTACAGCCTGAAGATTCTTCACAGAAGGAAAGGAAAGACCCTCCTCTATCTCTGTGATATAGCTAGAGTTCCAACTGCCTAGAAGTAGGAAGGCAAACTTCTGATATCACTTTCCAGCCCCCAACTGGAGGGTGACGGGAGCAGCTAATCTCTCTGCCTATCAGTGCTAGACAGCTAGAGTTTCAATTGCTTGGCAGATAGAGAATGCTCGCGTACCTCTGAAGCTTTTCACTGGCTTTGACTGAAAGGGGATCATGCAGAGGGAAATTTCCCTCCTATCTATAATGCTTCCTCCATCACTAGGCCGAGGAAGAACCAGAGCATCAGATACCTCCAAATCTATTCCTTGTACTTCTACTTTGGCTTTCAGTGCAATGGAACTGACTCTTACCACTTCAACCCAAGCAGAAAGAAACACTTTTGAAGGCAGCACTAGCATAGATTGTCTGGGTACCTCGATCCAGAAACTGAAATGGAACTGATCATATGCATGTATAGTAGTCTGGCTATGGGCAGTCATGCAGTAGGATGACAACAAGCAGGGACCAAAAGCATTCAAGGATTTTTCCAAACCAGGCTGAAAACTAGAACCTGTTGCGAATGCCAATTCTCGTGTTAAATGGAAGGGTGTCTCTAGTCATGTGCAGAATGCTGTCTCTTCATTGCGTAACTACAGCAATCGAGTTACAAATCTACAAACATCAGTATGTACAGGATTACGGTTTAATTGTTTCACACAAATAAAAAGTAGTAATTAACTAGACATAAATTGGTCTGTGTCAACTGCCCATTTAAAGTGGTTTTATTATTTGAAAAAAAATTAACAATCTTAAAAAAATTTCTAGCACTTGCAAATACCTGATTTCTCTCAGACATGAGGAAATCTATACGACTTCCAGGAAGGCCAAGTTCAATGTAAGTCTTTACTAATCTTAAATCTGCACTATTGCCTAAAATAAAGAGACAAAGTTTTGTATTAGACAAACTTGCTTTCAAAAAAAAAAATTAACATGCTAAAGTTAGGAAACACTGCAGAAATGTTGCTCTAGATTATTCTAATTCCAGACTTACTGTAATATTAACATTCAATGAATGGAAGAATAACTAATTTTTGCATTCAATTACCCAAAGAGAGGATAATTAATTCAATAAAGCAATATTTGGAGAGGAATTTCTTCCCTGGTACTCAGTACTGAAACATGTAAACCCTGGGTAAAGCTCGGTGAAAACCTTTTGCTCATAGATCTGTCAATATAACAGGCTGTCCTGAAAATAATGCTCCAGTGGTCTAGAAGAACCGAAGGTGGTTGAATCTCCTATATTGTTTTTAATGTGACACTGGACTGATCGTTATAACAAGACTGATTAACAAGAACAAGATACACAATTTAAAATCATTTTTTTTAAAAAACCTTTTTTAAAAACTAAATAACAGCATGACAGGAGAATGTTAACACTCTATTATGTCTGGAGCAAATTTCCATACCCAAAACAAGGCTCTGAACTAAAATCTCATGTGTTCTTAACCCATTATCAGTTGCCACAACATACCATCCAGCCCATGTACACAAACTATAAGATGTATTCCATCTTCTGTACTTTCTTCCTCTTCTGCACTAAAATAAGGTACTGAAGATGCCAGTTTGGCTATATCACTGTACATAAATCCAGGGAGGTGAAGTTGCTTCAGTTCTTCTTTAGCATTAAGGAATCTGAAAAAGCAGATTTTATTTCACCCAGCCAATAAATATTGAATATGAAGAGAAGTAAATTTTGTTTACTTTTCAGTTCATTTATGTGTAGTTATTTAAAATTACCTACCACTCAGTGCAATATTTCAGATCAGAAAGTTACAAGTTTTATACTTACAAAGACTAATACACTCCCCACCCTAAAGATACATTGAACAATGCTGTCTCTCAGAAGCTCCTGCAATATAGCTGTATCAGCACAGCTCTATGTTGAATTGTCAATTAAACCAACATAAATATGTTACACTAAGTATAAGCTGTGCACAGATGTGCTGTAGTAGATGATTCTAAAAGGCAAAATGCTTTTAGGAAAACCACAGGAAGTCACTAAAATCCTATTGATTAGCACAGTAATTCACACTAGAGTAGACTCAATGGTTCAAAGCTGATTTGGCAATTCAACCCCTCTGTAAGTTTCATTGATTCAGATGAATCTAGCTGTGACTTACTACTGTAAGGAACAGGATTTCAGCCACTGTTTCTTCACTGGACAATGCCAGTCTGCCACATTTAGCATCAATAATCATTAGTTGCCTCACATTGGAGACTTCCTCTCTTGCATCTGTGAACTCTCTTGACTATTTTGCAGCACTAGATATCACAGTTCTGAATTAAAACTGTGCTATTTTCTGACAAATATATTCTTTGGAACAGCACCCTTGGAACTGAAATGTTCACAAATCATGAAAATTTTAAGAACTATGTCATACTCTATACCACAATTCAAGGGTTATTGATCAGGTAGGATAAAATTGGGGTCAAAAACAAATATCTATCAACCTTTCTATCTATGCACAGACAGACCACATGTTAAAAATGCTGAAATACTTAATTTTACCTTTATCATAAGGTTTCCAGTTTTCTTTTTCAATACCAATGCAAACTATCATGATCAAGATACAACCAAGCTAGTTTCAAAGGAAGTTACCCATGCATCTCCTTACCTCCTGCCATAATTGAAAAACAAGGAGGCTTCAAAACCAATAAGATCTGCCAGTGACTGGAATTCACCACTTTCAATGTGCATATAAATGTAGTGCACTAGAGATCACTTCTGGACTTTTATGTTAAAATAAGAATTGGCTATGAACTTTTGCCAAAGGAACACTTTCCAGATCTTTCTGAAAAGAAGGCTGCATTAACAGAAGTAGTCTCCAAATCCTGTGAAGTATTAATTCCCCTCTATTCGGCACTGGTTAGGCCTCACCTTGATGACTGTGTCCAGTTCTGGACACCACACTTTAGAAAGTATGTGGATAAGCTGGACCAAGTTCAGAGGAGGATAACAAGGATGATGAGGGGACTGGAAACCAAGCCCTATGAGGAAAGACTGAAAGAACTGGGCATGTTTAGCCTTGAGAAAAGAAGACTGAATGGAGAGACATATGATAACGCTCTTCAAAAACTTGCAAAATTGCCATACAGAGGAAGGTCAGGCTCTGTTCTCAGTCATCCCAGAGTACAGGACATGTAATAATGAGCTCAAATTACAGGAAGCCAGATTTTGGTTGAATATCAGGAAAAACCTCCTGAGAGCAGTATGACAATAGAACCAATTACCTCGAGAGGTGGTGAATGCTCCAGTACTGGAGGCATTCAAGAAAAAAATTAGACAACCATCTGTCAGATGTACTTTGATTGGGATTCCTAGGTTAGAATTGATCGCCTTATAGGCCCTTTCCAACTCCATTATTCTAGGATTCTATGAAAACCTTCAACCACTTTAGGTTTCTGGAAATATGTGCTTGAAACATATAAACCATAGTCTAAAACAGCAGAAGGCAGCATGTGGTTTCCAATGCTGTCAAACTGCAATTCCTGTCAACCCTTATCATTAGCCATGTTGACTATCATCGATGAAAGAAAGATACCTGAGATGAGCCACATCCCTTATCCCTGGTCTCAATGTCTTACTTAGCAGCAACTGTACTTTTCCTAACAAATACATAAGCTGCATTTTAAACCCCCCTGCCTCCATCATAGGCGTGCAAAAACATCAGAATAGCTACATATCAAGGTAGTAATCTAGGCCTACTGTAGTGAAGAGAACAACTAGTAGAAAATCTCTATCTCTCACAACCATAATACCAAAAAGAAGAGACATACACTGTGCATATTTCCCCTCTAAAGTGGGCTTTAAAACAATGGTTTTAAATCAAATCACTTACGCAAGCATTTGAGGTTTGGGGAAGAACTCATACCAGGGGACAGATGATGTTGTACTGCAGGACATGCTGCAGGGCTGCTTGAAAACTGCATTAGATCTGTCCTTTGAAGACCATAACACATTACATGGGTATCCTTTCAATGTAGAGGGAAAGGTCAAACTACCTGGAGAATACAGTGGAGTCATACTTGTTGCATTCCCAAAAAGTTCACTAGTCATTCTTTCTGTTCTTAAAGCTTTCTCATCTGTCAGCCCAAAATTCTCTTCGGAATCAACTGTAGCTCCATATAAATTACTATCATCTGTTTCCTCAAAATAACCATTTTCAACCATGTCTTGGTTTTGCTCCTCCTCCTCCTCTTCCTCCTCCTCCTCCTTTTCCTCCTCTGGTGAAAAGGTACAAATTGTTCCTCTCTGAGGGCTAACAGGATTGTTACTGACAGAAGAATATATATTGGAAATATCCACGCTGCTTTGATAACCAAAGTAGTTTTCTACAAGTCCTTGCTTCAGCATATCTGTACTGCCCTCTGATGAGAGAACATTCACACCTGTGAGATTATCATTTTCTGCCGTTGTCAGTTTGACAGCCATTTGTTTTTCCTCCAAAGATTCATTAAGATTTCCATCAATTGGCTTCATAATACCCTCAGCAGAAGTAGACACTGAACCTGAAACAACACAGGACTCCCCTAAATAAACAATTCCTGAAAGAGTTTCATTTGATTTTTCTGCAGTACGCATGTCTCTCTCCAACCTTTGGGAATCTTTATAAATTGTCTCAATATTCAATTGTGGATTACAGGTATTCACATTTGTACATGTATCTCCACCTGAAACTAGTTGTAACGGTGCTTTTATATTTGAGGGCAATGAAGGCAGAAATGTAGTCTCATCTGACTCTTCTGAACATGCTATAAAGTGTGATGGCACAATATCAGATTCTTCATTGTCATCACATTTTGTCAAGTCAATTGCTCCCAGGTCTAATATAGTTTTGCTGTCACTTAATTGGCATTCAGGTACAAGAGATATCTTTGAATTTTCATCAGGGGACAGATCATCATCAGAAGGGAGAGAGTTTATTGATGTTAAGGAGGACTGTATTTCACTAACAGCACTTGTACTTTCAGTACAGTGACTCTCTACTGGGTTTTTAATATTGCAATCTGGCTTGATTAAAAGCTGAGGAAACATTCTCTCACTGCTACATGCACTTTGGCCTTGAGGAGTTTCAAAAGCCACCTCTGCACCTGGGTGCAATGCAAAAGAACTTGGTTCACTTTCTATACCGGAATCTGAAAACCGGGAAGATGCATAGGTAACACTAATGTCCGGCAACTTAAGTACATCTCCACTTACAACAGTGACAGGAGTTTCTTTTGTTGACAGAGTGGACTGGTTAGTTGTAACCTTTCCTAAGGAATCTTTATCATGTCGGAAGTCTGCTTCTTGCAAAACTTCCTTTTCAAGAAACAGTTCCTCTTCTTCTGACTTAGGCTTCTTTTCAGATTCTGAACTTTCAAATGTAGACTGCTGCAGGTTTTCTCCACACACTCTACCCTGTGAAACTTCTGTTCGTGATCCAATATGAACAAACACTTTCTCTCCTCTGTGCATATTCCTACAATATGGTTTCACTTCTATTTTGATAACTCCAGATGGACCAATAGAATCTTCAACAGAACCTCTGGGTGCCAAATTACTTTTCTCATGAGTATCCACCACCCCTTCCTGGGGAATGTTATGAAAAGTTATTGAATTTGCACACTGGGAAATGGCAGAGCCACATGGGCTTTCCTGATTTTCTTCTGGCTTGGTGGCAATTTGCTCAGGTCTATGTGATAAACTTGTGTATTCTTTCTGACTGATTTGCCGCACGACATTCTTTGCATCAAAAGTAGGCCTACCAACTGTAATATCCACCCCTTCTTTCTGATTACATGAAGGAATTCCTTCAAAGTACTTAGAGATGTCATCCGTTGCTGCCGTTTTTAAGCATTTGTAACCTACCAAGACAACAGAATCCTTAGAATTTTGTTTTACAATTTTTTTTGGATTTTCAGGTTTCATTGTTTTCATCAATTTGGGAACTTTAACTTTGGACTTGTTTGTATCTTCACATTTCCCCTTTGTAGACTTCATAAACTGCTTTTCACTTTCTGACTGCCAAGTGTGGGAGACAACTAAAGATGTATTTTTCAACTCTGGGCTAGAAAAGCCAACCATAGAACCTTCTTCAGTATCCAGTTTATCTGATTTCTTGAAGTCAGACTTCTGATGAGCTGCAGACCAGGGTACATCCATCTCTTATGTAAATGGGGGGGGGAAAGAAAGAAGAGCATTTTAGAACAAGATAATGCAATAACTGTTATTGCACTAAGATTTAAAATATGAATTAGAGAAACATGCATTTCATGGTCACGAATTTAAGAAAGAAGACAGTTACTCTGAATGCTTCAACTAGCACATTCGACAATGGCTGTCAGCAGGTCTTTAGAATTTCAGAGAGGAGGGTTTCCAAAACTAGCTTGCATGAAAGGCAAGCGCTCTACCACGGGGCTACAACCCTTCTGAGGATTCTTTTCAATCAAAAAGTAAAGCAGACAAGCATATGAATATAAATTAGCATTCAGAGAGGCTGGGCTTTCAAGCAGCATATGCTCTCATATGCACAGTAGGGTTTTGGATGTCTCTTTTCTTGTTGCAATGCCCTTCAGTACCTTCCAACCCCAGAGGCCTCCACATGGACTTGCAATGTAAAAAATAAAGTAAGAAAAAACTGAACGCGAGTACAGTGGTGCCCCGCATAGCGAGCGCCCCGTTTAACGATGAATCTGCATATTGATGCAATGTTTTAAGTGCCCGAAAATCGCATTGCGATGATCGGTAAGCATTTCGCTTACCAATTTTCACATTGCGATGTTTTTTTAAACAGTTGATCGGCGGTTCCAAAATGGCCGCCGGGAAAAAATGGCCGCCCGCTGTGTTTTCGCACAGTTTCCTCGCATACTGGGTGGTGAAAATGGCAGCCGTATGAAGGATTTCCGCATAGCGGTGAGTTTCCCCCCATAGGAACGCATTAAACAGGGTTTAATGCGTTCCTATGGGGTTTTTCTTTCCGTACAGTGATGATTCCGGATAGCGACGATTTTCCTGGAATGGATTATCGTCGCTCTGCGGGGCACCACTGTATATTTAGCACACACCTAGCTATAGCGGGTTTTATTTCAGAAACTCTCTTAAATCGCTATCTATATTATCATCATAAAGTGTTGCACAATACGAACTTTAATTTCATCAAAGCAAAACCTGACAGGTGCTGATTTACCTTCAGTGATGGAATCCACATATCGATCTTCAAAAATTATAGGCAAAGAATTCAGATCGCCATCCAATTCACTGCATTCAATCGGAAGAGGGGGAAGAGAACTACAGAAGGATGTGTTCTTTATTGCAGTACACATCTGAAGGTAACTCTGGGCACTGAAAGACACCATCTTATGTGAAAACATTTGCACAAAGCAAGCATACACAAAGAACTGTAACTGATAAGTTTCATCTCTAATTGTATTAGTCAGAAGCACTAGCTAAAAGTCAATATTCTGTAAGACTATAGTGTCAATTATGAAATAAATACTAAGTCTGATTAAACAAAATAATTGTTTCAATTTCTACTTTTGTTTAATCAAACAGTTTTCTTAATTAAGTGGCTGAAATCCAGTTGCACAATTAAACCCCACGGAAGGGTGGTGACTTCACCAGCAGGGGGTCATTTTGGGTAAGTAAAAACTTCCGACTTTTGTCCTGCCACTTTTTTTGATTCCCATGTTATCCCTTTTGTCACATGGAAGCCATTGGAGCCACAAGACAGGAGAAAGAAACTTCTTATTTCCTAAAATCACCCTCTACTGGTGACATAATTCCCATTTTGCAAATGAAAGTTACAGAACAGGATTTCAGTCTATACTTTATAATTATAGCTTATAATTTCTTTTCTATCCACCCAGTTCACACTCAACAACAACCATTAATTAATCTAACTAATGGATTCATTATTTTTTAATTAAAATGGGAAATTATAATTCATTCATTCATCTGATGGTTGTTTAGGTTTTCTGGGCTGTTTGGCCGTGTTCTGTTTCTTCCTAACTGAAACAGAATTAAACAAATTTAAACACATACAAACATCTCAGGACAATAGTTAAAAACTAATAAAAGGCACCTTTATATAATTCTATTTGCATTCATTTCCTAAAAACTGGGAGGGATGGCACCTGACAAATCTCTGTAGAAAACCTATTCCACACAGAAGAGGCCACGACCGAGAAAGCATGCTTTCTAGTGTTAGTTTTTGCCCTTCTCATGTGTCTCAGTTTTCAAAATTAAAGACTGTGAGGATCAGGTGAGACAGGTAGCTATTTAGTAGCAGAGGTATTCCAACAACTATTGAGATCCTAAATCATTAAGGGCATTATAGGTCATGGTCAGCGTGCATTCTTGTTTGCATTCACAGTTAATATTTCTACTTAAAGTTACTTACTGTAGTTCCTGATATGCAAGAGCTGCCTCCCTTGGATGTTCAAGACAAAAAAATGCTTCAGAAAATCTACGCACCTAAAATGTTTCAAGGCAATAAAAATAAAAGTTTATATTAAAGGTGTTACCCTTTGGTTTTCTTAATGGCACAGATTCTATATTTATATCACAATGTCACAGTAACAGTATACATTAATTAATGGAACAGTTCATTTTTAAAAACTGAATACAAGCCTATCATGGAGCAATGAGTTAAAATGGGTCTTCCAGAGATATTTTAAACAATAACTAATTTTCAACACTTTTCATTTTCAACAGCTAATTAGGAGCATTACTGGATATTAAAATCTTTTTAACCACTAGCATATAATTCTACTTTGGATTATGTTTCCTTTCTTCAGATACTGAAGATACAGGCACATAAAAACAGAAACTTCAAAGTTGTTTCCTTAGGCTCAAAAGTCCACATATCCTGGTAAATGATAAGTCTAAGCCATGAAATCTTATGTCATAGTACAATTTATTTTGTTTGCCTTTAAGATACCACCAGGCTTGTTTGCTGTTCCTTCTCCTGGATAATCTAAATTGGATTTCTATGCATTTTTGGCTAGAGTTCCCAATTTAGTAGTTGCATACAAAGTGATCACTGCTCTTCCTCAGCACATTCTAAAAACAAATTCAGAGGTCTCAGTAGGTTTGCTATCTTTGCCTCAGACAGGCAAGTCAACATATACAAAGCTATGTGTTCGTCTTTGGTGTGCAATGGCCCTCGGCACACAGATTTTGAGGGATTTCCTGCTTGGCCCAAAAGTCAACCATCTTAGCCTTCAGAAACCTGACAAATTCCTCCAGGGTTAGAAAATTAGTGTAGCAACTATGAACTCCAAATTCCCAACCAGGAAGAAGTATATCTCAGATATGTAAAACACTAGATCATGAATCCATATATCTGGGGAAGAAAATGCCGAAACTGAAATGAAGGCTATAGACACATGCTTAAATTTAACTAGGGCAAGTGAGATTTTCAAAACATTTAATGATTTGTGTTTTACCTTTCTACAGGGTCATGACTAGGATGGAGCAACTGGGCTTTGCCCCAGTATGCCTCCAAGATTGGTCAGGTTTAATGCCATAGAAAAGGCTGTGGGGGTGTGCCACAGTGTGAACCCCTCTGTCACCAGAGGGTGAAAGTGCAAAACAGCCCCCAACCTGAGTGTGCACATGTACTGTTGACTCCACCCACCCAATTAAAGGAGCTCCACCTGGGGAAAGCTCCACTCTAGGACAAAATTAAAAGCAAAAAAAAACAAAAAACAAAAAAAACCAAAAAACCTCACACATCCTAATCACGACATACAAAAACACCACAGAAAAGAGGGTGGGTTGGTATGAGAAGCCCCAACACCAAATGAACTGATCAGCTGCTTTATATTCTCTATAGCACTGGTTCCCAACTTTGGGTCCCCATATGTTCTTGGACTACAACCCCCAGATATTCTAGCTTGCAGAACTAGAGGTGAAAGCTTATACGAGTTTTAGTCCTAACATCTGGAGACCCAAGTTTGAGAAAACACTGCTTTACAGGCAGATGAAAGTGGAAACTTCCACTCTCAGGTCCACCTGGAGACTAAGTGCAATTTCCTAGCAGGCTTGATTGGCCCGCTATGTCAGGTGCAGGAAAATAGTCATGCCACTTTCAGGGGATACAGTGGTGACTCGCTTTATGATTGCCCCGCATTACGACGAAACCGCTTAAGGACGATCTTTTTGCAATCGCAATTGCGATCGCAAAACTATAGTCTGAATGGGGGAATTTTACTTTGCGATTATCGGTTCCCTGCTTCGGGAACCGATTCTTTGCAAAACGACGTTTTTCAAACAGCTGATCGGCAGTTTCAAAATGGCCGCCGGGTGATTAAAATGGCTCCCCACTGTGTTTAGGGACGGATTCCTTGCTATACAGGCAGTGAAAATGGCCACCCTATGGAGGATCTTCGCTGGACGGTGAGTTTTTACCCCACTGGAACGCATTGAACGGGTTTCAATGCATTTCAATGGGGTTTTTATTTTCGCTTTACAATGTTTTCGCTTAACGACGATTTTCCTGGAGCAATTACCATCGTTAAGCTAGGCACCACTGTACTGGGAAAAAGATGGTGGCACCAACCCTTTGGAGCCAGCCAACAATAAAAACAGTCTCCAGTGAGTCAGGGATTTCTGTTTCACGTGCCAAACCTACAAGCTCATAGGAACCTTTCATGTGGAGCAAGGAATAATGGAGAGAGAGAAGGGGCTGGGTACTTCCTTGGCTGCATGAGGGATAAAGACTGAGGAGGAGGAGCCTGAATAGAGCTGTAGCTTTAACATAAATGCTGCTGTCAAGTTCATGTTTATGCTATACTATTACTGCTAAGTGTTTCATTAATGTTCTAGTTTTATCAATATTTCTAGATATACATTTGGCTTTAAAAATGTACCCTGTTTTCCCGAAAATAGGACCTAACCTGAAAATACAGTAAGTCCTAGTATGATTTTTAGGATGCTCATAATATAAGCCCTACCCCAAAAATAAGCCCTAGTTAAGTGAAACCCCACCCTCCACTATTGTGCAGCAACCAGAAGAAGAAGAAGTGACTGTATTTGAATAAATGTAGATTGTTTTACATGAAAAAAATAAAACATCACCTGAAAATAAGCCCTGCCTAAAGCATTTTAGAGCAAAAATTAATATAAGACCCTGTCTTATTTTCAGGGAAACGTGGTAGGTTCACCTTATGTTTAACTTTTAAAAGGTTTTGAGACTCAGTTTTAAGAACTACATTTGATACACAGTTTCAGAGTTTTTCATTACTGTAACAGAACTTGGGATGGGCCACTTCCACTCTCAAAACTTGTTTAATTATAGGTTGAATACATACACGCATCATGTGATGTTCTTGTGCTAGTAATGCAGTGACATCCTCTTGACAGTTAACAGCCTCAAGAAATTGTCCCCAGAGAGCCATCAGAAGTGAACACAGCTGAGCAAGGTTCATATTTATAAGCTCTGCCAGTTCATCAGGATTTTCCATTTTCTGCACCAGGAAAAAAAAACAACTTGCATTTTTTGACATAGTTTCTAATACTCTGACAAACGTGTAACACATTTTTCCAAGTTTAAAAATGAATATGAAAGTGTCATAAAGTCAGTTATTTCCTCTCAAACTACATTGTAAAACATTTTTATATATTAACTTTACTGAAACACAATTTGCACATGAAGAACAAAACGGCAACACCTCTGACAATTTCTGTAACTAAGAAGCATCCTATAAATGATACAGTACTTGGGCTCCATCTACTTCAAGAACTTATTTCTAAGACTCTATGGTCCCACATGTGATGATCATATGTCAAAGCAGGATTTTTTTTAAGGGAATTAGGTGTGAAAAAATATCTTTTTTTGGCTGTGTCAAATATGTCCATTTTATTTGTAGACCTGCTGTATTATTATGAGGGAACTTTTTAAAGCCTATTTTTGCCATACTGTTTTATACATACTGTATCCATCTTACCATCTCATCCCTTCTGCCCTCCGTAACTCCCATTTACAAGTGGAACTCTGCTCATGTAATGGTTATCATCTCCCTCACTGTATTATCCATGAAATTGGGAGTTCTGCCCTAATATCTATAAAGTTATACATATACTGAATATCATTTGCTGTTTGAGCTTGATGTTAAAAGAGATTTTATAGAACTGTGTTTCTATAAAACTGTGTTTTTTTAAAAAAAAACAAGGGTCCTTTGCATTGGTGTGAAAATCTCATAGCATAACCCCCTTTTTAATTTTACTTGTAATATTTTACAGTATATCATGAAAGAAAATCTTAAAACTCTTTTAGTTGAGAATCACCTTTTAGTTCTGTTCATAATCTGTCTGGAATTTTTCATTAACCTGAATAATCTGGTGTCATCTGCAAACCAGTATGCCAACATTCATCTCCAGGTAAATTTATGAATAAATTGAAACAGTATATAGTACCAACACAAATCATTACTTATTTTCCCTTACTGTGAGATTTATATATGCCCTCTGCTTTTAACCAGTTGACTCTTTAAGAATGCCTGTTCTCTTGCCTTCTGACTGCTCACTTTGAGCAGAGGTTTTGATGACAAATTTTGTCAAAAGTTTGGAAATGTTATGTCTACCAGTACCTTTCCTATCCATAAGACAAACACACACAAAAAAGGAATTACTTAAACCACAAAAAGGTTTGCTATTGAAAAGGGCTAGTCTTGATGGGAGGAGAGTGGAGATTGGGTTTAATGTAGGAAAAATAAATTAACATTTATTTAAATTCGGGAAAATACCTTTAAGTCGTCACAGAGTTCTGTCAGGCGTACTTCTACATCTACATCTATGTTTTCTGAAAATATTAGAGTGCATGTAAAATTAGTATACTGAAGCTTGAACTATGTTTTATAAATTACAAAACAAGACTACTCGGTTGATTCAACTTCAGAAACAAAGGCTAGTATCCTGTTGCTAGAACAGAATGTTCTGCTCATAGACCTCTGAGTGGTTCCAGCTTGCCATTGTGCTATCCAAAGACTGAAATGAATGGGCTTGCACACTGAGGTACCAAATATCTTAAAAGAAGAACAAAAAACAAAAAACAAAAACAAAAACAAAAAGTAGTGGCGTCTTAAAGACCATTAGATTTTCATGGGACTTTTCATGGATCAAGTCCACTTCCTCTGTGTCATAAGAAATTATAATAGTCTTTAAGGTCCCACTATGTTTTTTTTCTATTTATTTATTCAGCTAACCCCCTGACCCATCAAAGCAGCCCGTTCCTGATATAAAGCCTATGAAAACAGAGTTCTTTTTACCTGAGATCTCTCAATTTACTAGTTAGACAGGCTTTCAAAAAGCAATGCATGAAATGAAATTTAGGCTTTAGGAAGGAAATGTGCAAGCATTAAATTAGATTAGCTCCAATTCACCAATCCTTATGAGAGAAATGAATCAATTGAGTTTTCATTTAAAATGCAGGTGTTTTCATTTTTAAAATGTTAGAATTTAGAGGCTGGAGAATAATAAATATAGTAAGACAACAATGGAGGAGTTATTACCACATACGAGTTTGCATCCTGCTTTCCAAGGGATGTGCAGTGAAGGAAAAAAACTTTCTTTTCCTGATTACCGTTACTCCCTTTAGACCTTGAAAATCTGTTCCAAAGAGTTATAGGACCCTCCAAAACCACATAGGTGGTGTTGCAGTTAATGTAAGAGGGATTAGGCAGTCCCCTCTTCTCATAGCAACATGGTCAACTGGATTAAAATCTCTTCGACGAGAGGGATTATTTTGTTTAAAGAAGGCCATCTTAGACATGTCTTTTTATATAAAGCAAATCCCAATATTAGGTACAGAACTGAAGAATCACAGGAATATCTAGGGATCTACGTATAAAGAAAAAAAGTAGGAATTCATCTTGTCTAACGACAGCAAAATCCTTTTATACACCTGCACCCCCATAAAGGGAATAACATAATCGTCCTCATATTCATTTTCATCCTCATCAGAGAGCAGCTTATTAAAGACTTCTTTTTTATATATTTTGAGCTGCACACGGCTCATACACAAAGAGACAAAGTCTTATACAACATGAAATTGAAAAGGGAAGTCTTTAATCAACAGCAATCTGCTGCTGACAAAGACATCATTCTCACTGTCCACCCAACAGGATTTCAGCCTATAACAGAATTAAAATATAAATGAATAAAAGAAAATATTCTCTATCAATTTAAATAATCAAAAAGGGATATGTTTCTTTATTATAAATTAATTATAAGTCTCAACAATAAAACCTTTTTCTACCCAGAGGTTTTCCATTCATTTTCTTTTAAACCCAGACAAACAACATTGGCCATTCTTTCAGAAACAAATCACTCTAGTTCAAATTAAAACGTATCAAGAAAATACAGTTCATTCACTACCATTTATATATTTTGTATAATTCCTAGGTCTGGTGAAGAGATTTACTTGGGGGACCCACTTAAGTATAGCTGGTGGGTTTTTTCTAGTTTGCCATATGCCTTGGTTTTTCCCCCCAAATAATATCCCAAAGCAGATATGCAAACTGCAGCTTACCTAGGACAATTTCTATTGAAACTATTTTGGAACTATTTTGAATCATTGTTAAACATGAATGATTTACTTTGCTGAAAAAACTCTGGCAATCTTTGAGTTGTTAAAGTTTATGGCTGAAAATATGGAAAATTTACACCAGAGAAATGTAAAGATCCACAAAGATGCCACAAGACTCTAGTATGAGCTTTTTCCACCTTCCCGTCAAACCGTTTTCTAAACATCTGCTTTTCAATTAATACTTTTGCATTTAAAAGCAAACATTTCACAGATCAGTTAGAATTCCAAGTCCATCCCAAAGCAGCTATTTAACAGTTGAGCTTCAATGTTGTATAAGCAAACTTCTGCTTCATGGTTCCTTTCCCCTTTCTTCAGCCCTAAAGAGCCCCCACAAGCTGCTGCAGAGGGTCTCCTAATCCCTTGCATTTGGGAAAGGACACAGGGGAATCCTATTCTCTTACAGATGTCATATGCCATTTCAACCTATTTTCTTTAAACTATTTAATATTGAAAAAACATATAGTATGGGGGCATGAGATTTCAGTACAAAGAGAAGAAAGTTAGCGTTCCCTTATTCTGAATGCATTGTTACTTTTTTCTTGAATAGTCAACTAATGGTTACATTTAACTACAATTAGGCTCAGCCAAAAAAGACTGCATTCCTCCAGTTGCATCATTCAGCTTTTAGTAATTTATTTCTGTATTTTAAAGTGCAGTGAGCAATTGATTTCAACCCAAGTTATAAAATGTATTGATCGAAGCATAATGCAATCAAAATGTGATAACCTAAAGGAAGATCAATTCTCATCACATTAGAAATACGTTACATATCCTTAGCAATCTTCTAATGATGCATTCTTTGTTGAAGAATCTTTTACCTTTAACAACAGCATGGGAACAAATGCATATACAAGTAAAAAGGTCTGCTTAATGCCCAACAGAATTTTTGGACTGGAGATGGAGTGCTGGGTGGAGAAAGGGAGAAATATAGCAATTTGGCATTCTGGATAATGCCCAGTATATTCTGAAGAGGTAGAGAAAGCATTCTATTAAACTCCATAAGTATCTCTTCATCCAAGGCAGGAAAAATCGTGCCCTGCAATGCAACCATATTCATAACCAGGCCATTGGATTTCCACAACTCATAGAAAAATGTGCTAATCTTTTCAGGTATTTCAGATTATTGACAGCAGAAAACGTTTCATGCTGCTAATGAAAAAGTTCAGAGTGTACAGGCAGGTCACTTTTGTTCAGAAAGATCAGAGCAGTGAGTTCTCATCCTGAGTTTTCATTAATGGTTATCTAAAAAATATGGAAATGGAATGATAGGTCTTCAAAACCAGCAGCAAAAACAAGGTATCAGTTAGATCTGAACATGCCTTTCCACAAATCCAGATTCTCAATTTATGGAAGGGACTCAGACTTAGTAGAGACTCCCACAGAAGGAAAGACAGGGGAGGTAATCTTCGTTGAGTCCCCTGCAGCATAGGCACTATGCTGTTCCAGAGTGCCACTCAATCTTCTAGAGTAGCCTTTTAGGGGATACAGAAGCTTCAGGGGAAGAAGCAAGTAGCAGAAATCTACCTCCTGCTCTTACTCCAGTGGAGCTTCTTATTAACAGAATTCTGTTCCAAGTCTTGATCTCATATGTTAAATATCAGAGCTTTAAATCTATGTTAATATCTTATCCCATAAGTAATATTGCAACCGTTTCTGGTTTATAGCACAAGGTCAAAAATAAAACAGACATTGTGAAATGAGACCATTTCATTGATACTATATCCTCAGATAAAGTGGTACAGAGAATTCCTATGTTCAATTCATAAACCACCTTAAACTAGAGTTGGATGTTATTTTTAGATATTCTACACGTGTTTAAAGATAAGAGGTATTATTTACAAACAACAAAAGCTTTGATGCTTTATATCATACATCCTAATGGGTTATAGACATAACCCACTTAAAAACATACCTAGATATGCGTCTCCCTGGATTCGTAGATATTTTCTTCTGAGAAGGCGTTCATAAAGCACCTGCATGCTGGACTGGGCTAGTTATAAGGATTGTACACATGACTAGTTACTACACTCCTTTTTCCATGTGTTTATTATTATTATTATCATTAGTCTTAAAGTTAGTAAGAAAATTTATCACTTGCCTAGTACTTAGTGCAATTAAGTAAGGACAATTAGAGAACATAATTTAGTAAAATTATTAATGATGTACATCATGGCTCTTATTAGACTTATCATCTGTGTGAGATTTTGTGAAATGGAATAGTTAAATCAAAACTGCCCAAATGCTAACAATTTCTGTTATTTAAAAAAACCCAATGTAAAGCATGTATTTATACAATTTTTTTAAAAAGCCAATTTTAAAATAAAAATGTACATCAGAGGAATAAACATATAGAAGGCAAAAGGGATAGCAGACAATACAAGGAAACAGAAAAGGAAAGGACAGTGGACTTTTTCTGAGATTTAAATAGGTCTTCAGAAGTGTTCTTCCAGAATCCTACTTGAATCTCAGTATTCTGAAAAGGATTTTCTTCAGGAGAAAAATTGAAGGTAGCTTGTAACAAACTGCTTATGATGTCATCATAGTACAAGTCATTCAGAAGATATTCCCCCCCAGCAACCATAATGTGGGTGTTTAGTGGCATATAAATAGGTCCCAATGACATCATTTGGATATACTGTATATGCATGCAACACTGACTGAACTGCTTCCACCACCTCTAGGAATAGATTTTTTTTAGAAAAGACCATATTAGTAGTGTTAGCAGATACCATTTAGACATTAAACATTTTGTCAAATACATAAGCCAAATTACAATATTAAATAACTGAATCTTTAAAAATTCACAAATAAAACATTAATAAAGAAAATGGCAGCAACAGAAGCATAATATACTGAAAACTATTCCTTTGTTAAATTTCAAAATTGGTTAATAATTTAATAATTATCAATATTTTCAACATAGGGTTTGATTTAATTTTTACAAATTAGAATAGCATCGTCTATATTTTTTTGGATGGTATTCATTATTGAAACACATTTTAAAACTAATATTGTTCATTTAAATTAAGAATACCAGTATACTTGGGGGAAAAAGTTTATTAATAAGGCTAGACTAGATGGAGGCATTCACAAATGCCTCCATGGCACATTTTTATAAAGAAACTATGCCTTTATAATAGCAATTTTACAAATGGCACTGGTAAAATAAATCGTGGGGCTTTGGCCAGGATCCAATGGCTGCCATTCATTGACAGAACAGTTTCCATTAGCAGCACTGGGAGGCTGCTGTTCTCCATCCCAACTAAAGTTTCCTATGCATCCCTAAACTTGGTTGCAAGGGCTTGGAAAACCTGCCAGAACCAGTTTCCATGTGTCACTAGAACTAGGGGCAGGGATGGGAACTAGGTTCAATCATACTAGTGCTTCAGCACTAGTGCAACACTGGAATTAGGTTTTGGTCAACAATACAGTATATGGTATGTAAGTGTAGAAAGAAATTTATGGCCATTCTAGATGTAATAATCCAATAAAAATATTCTAAATGGAGAGACAGGGTTCTGCATACAAATACCCTGGAAAATTCACATAAACTTGGTTTAGTATACAGGGGGCAATAGAGCACACACAGCAATGTTTTATCATTGACGTTTCAGGATATAATGTTCTATAGAGATTGGAGTGGGCAACCTGCCGCCTTCCAAATGTCAAGACTACAACTCCCTAGCCAACCAACAATTACTGTGCAAACCCTGAGGCTGCTTTTTCCAAATGTTGTTGTATTGCAGACAACTGTCCCATATTTTGCTGTGTTGCATCTCTAAGTTAGAACAGTTTCCTACAGATGCAAAAAGTTAGGAAGAGCTATATTTGCCCAGTAGAAAACCAGGTTTCTATAGAATCTAGTAGAGTAAGCTCATTATAAGTAGAAGGGAGCACTCTACCTCACCCCTCTGTCCATGGTTTCTTTACCCTCCTACACATGGAAGGTGACAAGTCTGATGAGGGAGAGTTCCACTATTCATTGGGGTCCTTCCATGACTCTGGGTGTTTGGAAAATCAGGGTCCTTTGCTTCCACAAGAAATGTTTTACTTGCAATGATATTAGACATATGCATATTAATTGTAGATTAATTACATTATTTGTGCTATATTATAATCAATTAATATAGCTTGGAAATATCTATAAGACCTGATGGCAGAATCAGAGACTATTGTACGTGTAACATAATGTATTAACTATGAGGTTTTAGCTTCTTAAGAAATGAAGAAATGTTTTATTTCTGTTAGTATTAATTCCAATCACATTTGAACTCAAGTCATGCATTAAAATAATTGTGCCCAATAAAGCTACAATTATGGTGACATGTTGATCAGGAATGTGGCTGTGATATTTTATAATTTTGTCTCTAAAGGATTTATGCAACCAGAAGGTATCATAAGCAGACTTTGAATTTATTTCCCTTTTGCTCTACTGACCCTATACTTTCAACATTTTCAAATCTGAAAAAAGAAAAACAACAACAACAGTCTATCTGCCTAAGGATTTTTTTGGCTTTTTTTTGGAGGGGGGCTAAAATGGGGAAAACATGTATGTGGACCATAGATATGTTTAAGAGGTCAAACCAGAGGATGGTCTTTCCAGCTTACTTTAAAAAGCTAGAAACTCTTTCAAAACCTATTTTCAAATTACTGTTGCACAAGACGTTCTGCTTAGAAAGTATAAACCTAAACTTGGCTTTAAATGTATGATATACAGTACTTAGTAAATTTATAGTCCTGTTGATAAACAGGTTTTCTAAAGCACTAGGACTGTAAAAATGTACACACTCCTTTTAAAATTCATATATGGACTTCATACTATATCACAGCCTACCCTCCCCATAATAATAAAAGATGTCATGCTACTATGAACAAATAAATGTCTGCTGTGAGTACACAGCAAGCACCCTGAAAATATTTTTGCCTTGTATGCCCTAAACTTCAGATTCATCACAGTGATTTTAAAGCCACATTGAAAGCAATGTCTTATAGGTGAGTAGTGCTGTACTATTCATAGAATATGTGCTAAATGGTACAATTATATATGTATACATATGTTATATGTACATTATATGTACCATATAACATATACATACACACACTCTGCCATTCAGCACAGACGAATTAACACACTATCTTAGCCTACAGGACACAAACTGCAATTTAGATTTGTTTTTCAAAGAAAATAGAGAGTGCATACCCTGAAGTCAAAAAATACATTAAAAAAGACCAGCCTGCAGAATTAATTAAACCCGAGGTACTGTTCTATACTGCCTGAACTATTATTACATATATCTCCACTCATTTCAAGATATTCCTTATAGATATAGTAGTACAACAGTTTTGCCATGAGGCAGAACAAAAGAAGCATTCATTTCACATACCTGCATCTAATTTCTGACAGGAAGGCAGTTCTTTTGATAAAGTGGTGAAATAGCTGTGCAATCCTTTGAATGCTAGTAGCAAACTGGCACAAAGGGTACGGTGGAGATTGTAAGCGTGATTCAAGAAAGGTTCTGCTACTACAAAACTGCAGCCCTAAAGACAGATTTATACAATTATCAGATCAGTAGGTAAAAAAATAAGTTGTACACAGAAATTATGCACAGAGCCCAATGCACGACAAATGGCACTCTACATCCATATACAACTTCAGATTCCATGTGAAAGTCTGCTTGAAATGTGGAATCATGTCAGAGCAGAAGCTATGAGGCATTGGTATTGGATGAAGGGGAAGCTACTTGGTCACACATACAGGAGATCCTAGTTCTCAGCCAAAGGCAGCAGTCTTTTCTTATACACTTCTTCAGTACTGGGCCTTAATGAATGTAGTAGATCTCACTTTTGTGTGAAGACTAGCAGGAGAATTTTCAGTAGATTTAACAATTAATTAATAAAAATTTCAAACAAACCCCAAAGCATTATAGAACTGTATCTAGTATGCAGTATCATAGGAAAATACACAAGTACTCCTTTTAATTTATCAGATTCTTGAAGGCATGCATTCATTTGGTGTTAAACAGCATTGTAACAAAACTGTTTTGCATGTTAAAAGTAACACTGTTGAATATTTATTCCTTCTAGCTTATTAAAAAGTCAAAGAGACAAATGATTATAATCTTACATCAGCTGTTAACTGTTTAGTGTAACTGTTGCCAAAGACAACGCTTTCAAGCGATGGAATCACAGAATCCCTGTTCTGTGTTGGTGCATTTCTGTTTAGCCAAGTATTCTTGGTTGGGCGAGGAAAGCTAAAATTAAATGAGAGCATAATTAAAGATGTGTAACAGAAATAAAGGATGAATTAGAGACAGATGGGAGCAGAATTCTAAAAGATATCCCATTCAGTTTATTTAGTATCTGCATTAACTATGGCTACTCGCCTCCAATGATGAGCAATGTTAACTGTTGTAACAATAACAACACAGTTTTGGTATAAAAGAAATGAAGAAAGTACTGCAAACACAATTTTAGATGATTGCATGTAAGTAATTTGATAACATTGGCCAAAATACAAATAAAACATAGCTAGTTTTAGGCAGCAAACACAACTCTAAGTTAGCATTCTCTATCAGCAGCATCACTTCCGGTTCATGATCACTTTTTAAACGAGGGTGAATGAATTTCAAATGGTCTGAGTGTCTCATTTTTAAATTCAATCTATGGCTTAAATCTAAAAATATTTTGTAGAAAAGAAGGCACTTCTTGTGCAACTCAGGTCTTCCATTTTTTCTCTGTCTCTCTCTCCATCCACTTGCATTTCCCATGTACTTCATGCCATTCCAGAAAGTCCAGAAGAAGCATAAAATAAAGGAATGAACGTGGGGATGGGGCCAGGAATTGCTTTCCTTCTTATTTGGATTCATTAAGCAAATTCTACTGCATCATCCATGTCCTTGAACACTTTTGAATTTTTTTTAGATGCCAGCCAATAATTTAATTCTGTGAATTACTGATGCAACACGATCTACAGTATTTTTTAAATTGGTCTCATTTTCACAAATTTTACTCTTTTCAGAAACTCCAGGAAAACTATAGTTATTCAATGAAACAACCACATCCTGTACAGCCAGATGTTTAGGGGCTATCTGAAGAATCCATTTATTTGCTAAATTTAAAAAGTACATCATATGGGAAAAGATGCACAGTTTAGTTTACACATATGATGGCTGAAATCCTGTTGCACAATAATGCAAAAGGCATAATGTTTAGGGATGAATTGCGATTAAGTTAATAAATTCCTGTAGACATTTACAGTTTGGTGTACTACAGATAACATCTACAGAGATTTCTTAACTGATGGCAGTTTACCTCTAAAATTTATTCATTTTGCATAACTGCACGATAGGATTTCTGTGAGGTTTTTTTTTCTGTTCTAAAATTGTTTAGTGGAAAAGACAGACTTGGAGAAAAAGCAAAGTAACAAAGAAATGTTCATTAACACAGCAGAAAAGTAAATTACAACTTTCATTCTCTTTGCTTGTACATTAAAAAGCTCTTTCAGTTTTAATTTTAAGACAACACTTAAGACCACCTGAAGACAATCACAGATGTAAAGTTATACTACACTCCATTTATATATCAGACAGCGGCTGAAATCCTGTTGCAACTAGAACAGGCCACTGAATCACTTGACTCACCAAATCCCCATTGATTCAAAGGGTCTCCTCTAGTTGTGCCTTACTATGCTAAGGAACAGTATTTCAGCCAGTAAATTATGTTAGCTGCTTAAGATTGACCAAGATGTTAGAACAGACAGAACTGCTATGATAAGCATGCATAACCAGACATAGCTAAGGACATCAGAATCCAACAAATGTTAGTGTATTATTAGTTCCAGGTTTGAATGCTGATGCATGATCATAAGGTTTGAAGGGGAAGTTGCACATACAGTCTGTGGCTGCACACAAATACTTTTTAGTGTTTTGCTATAAGGCCAATTTTTGGAAGCATCTTCCCACCTCTGCACAAACACACACACTCATTATATTCCTGCACAAGCAGCCAAAGCCAAAGAGTAACTACATATTTGATTGTATGCATGGTATTGTAACTTCTTATAATTCTTCTACTGAAACGCCTTTCAAATATAGCAGGAATGAGTATGGACCAATACATCCGATATAAAAAGATACTGTATACACTGTAAAGGATGATCAGGGAAGAATACTATTATCATTAGTGACCCACTTTCCGGCACTTTTAGCAAGCAGCTGAGTTATGGTAGCTGCCTACAAGACAAATCAAAAAGCTGCCACAACAACACAACTGCATCAGAGGAACATTTTACCAAAAGAGAAAAATGGCAATGACCAGTGAAAACACTATTCATGACAGGTACCTCAACTCCTCTATTTGTCACTAACAATAAACAGCATTCAAATCATCTTCGAAAAACTCAGGTAAGTGGAAAGTTCCTGTCTTCATAAAGAAGCAACAACTATATGTTTATTGTGATGTTCATGTTGTATTTCATTGTTGGCTTTTTACTGTGATTGATACGTAGCTCTTTAACAGCATGAACTGAGCAAGGAAAGGGATATAGACTAGGCTCAAAGGTTTAAAATTAATTTGCTATTACTGCCACAGAATCCCTGTTACTGCAGTGTATGTACTCATTAGCTCATTTCCTCCCAGTCTTTAATACTGCATCTCATACTAAAACACACTTCATAAAGCATGAACAACATGCTTTGAGAACATAAATGAAAACATCTTGTCTGTTCCTACGTACAACCTGAAAAACAAAAAACGTACTACTCTTGGAAAAGATCATGGAGTTATATTTTATTGTAATATTAAATATATACCTAAAAATTAGTGGATCTACAATAATTATGTTCTTAATGGATCCTATTTTATTCTTTTTTGACTTCCTGTTTATGTATAAGATATACCAATCAGTGGGCAAAATCCTGTTGCATAACTTTGCACCAGTGTAACCTGCACAGGGTACCAGAAGCACTTAACATATGGTAACTTTTTGGTAACTAAAAGCCTCCCATTCCCCTCCTTTTTGGCATCAAGGCTGCTTGGGGCTCCTTTTTGCTGTGAAGTTTCTGGGAGCCTCGGGATGTGGGAAGTGTTTAATAGTAAAAAAAATGACCAGTGGATCACCACTGCTGATCTGGCAATGATACAGCAGCATTTTCTTTTTTTAAAATTACCATACTATTAAAGGCTCTTCCCTATCCTGAGGTTCCCAAAGGCCTCCTTGGTGCAAACAGAAGTCCTAGGGATCCTTGATACAAAAAAAGAAAAAAAGAGTGTGATAGGAAACTTTTAATGAAATGCTTCTGGTACTTGATCCATATTATGCCATGCAAACTAATGCCAAAATAATTTTGACCAATGAATATTGCAGATTCCAAATGATTAAAAAATTCAGTGGAGACACTAGACTAAAATATATGAAATATATATGAATGTATGAACCATTATTTGCCTTTGTTTCCCACATGTAATGACCACAGTTCAGGAGATACATAATTCATTACTTCTTTCTCTGAACACATAAAAGGCAAGATAGCTATATCAGCAGTCATGAGCACAAAAAATTCTGCATAAACACACAAAGTAGTATAAGAAGAAATACTTGAGAAAGCATACTAATCCTGACTTTGTTGGACTAGATTCAGGTAGGTTCTCCAATACCCACAGAGGTTCTGAGAGGAATGTTCTCTTATAAAAGGCAAGGAGGTCTCAGCATGTGAATTCTTAGATACACGCAAATAAGTAGAACATTCAAAGAAGACAATGGGGATGCCTTAGCTCACCAGAAGTAATTATTTGCTTTGGAATCTCTAAAAAAATGTATAAGATGTTGGATCCAGAGTTACATGCATACCACAAGGCTGACAGAAACAGCTCTCTTCACCACCTCCTATCTACAGCAGGTGCTCAAATGCCATAGCCCATCTACTGAACAGGATGGAAGGAGATATATCCCCATCCCATTGAGTTAAGATTCGTTCTATGAATGGGAGCTGAACTTGTGGAATGCAATGAAACCTACCTGACCTTTAGAAAATGCAATAGCTGTTGAATCTGGAGGCATTCTAAAAGAAATTCTATTGATATTATTTTTTGCAGGAAATGAGATGTATAAATAACTTCCAGTAATATTCCCCCCCCCAAAAAAAAAGTGCTGAAAAGTACAGACCATCACCACCACCTTTCCTATATTGTACAGAATAAGATCAGGATTCCCATAAGCAACTTTGTGGACAAAGTCTAGAGCAGCCAGGCCTGCAGTTTGAGCCAGGAAGGTTTTTCCAATGTTCTTAAGATTAAAGACTGGCTACCCAAAGTAAAGCAGCTAATGAGATACCTATCAAAATAAAAATCAGCTGCCTCACATCACAATTGTCAACTTAAAACTGGAACAATTTCCCAGTGAGTATTATTGTGGAGTTTACTGTTCACTCAAATTCAGGCTCTATGTAAAAGTGATAATTACCATATTTTTCTACGTATAGGACACCCTGATGTATAGGATGCCCCCACTTTTCTAATCCAAAATTAAGAAATCTAAGTGGTTCTTAGCAAGTGTAGGGGGAAAGGGATCAAAGTGCTGCAGGATTGCTTTGCTCCCTGCTTTCCCCTCCCCTTGTTTTTGTTATCTCCTCAACTTACTTCCATGTATAAGTCAACCCTCAATTTTTAGTCTAAAGATTTTAGACAAAAGTATAGTCTTATACATGGAAAAATACGGTAACTGTGAATATAGTATACAAATCGAGTAACAATCCTCCAAATGAAATTGCTGATACTTTTGCAATGAAACCAAGAATAAAAAATAATCAAGATCATATTTCCATGCTATTAGTTTTGAAAAACAAAACATGTAAAACATCTTTCTTTATATTAATTACCTTATCAGTGGCTGATGTAGAGCAACTAAAGAGGCATGGACTATAACAGAGATGACAGAGAGGTGAAAGTAATCAAACATGACATTGACGTAGTGATGAAGGCCTCGTTGTAAGGTAAAGTGCAACTTTAGTGTTCGGCTGCTAATTAGCTGCAAGGTGTTCAGATCTTCTGGCCTAAAAGAACAATAGCAAAATCACAACCATCCTTTTGAAAGTAATATCAGGAATATTATAATGCAAACAGTGGTATTTCCAGATCAGAAACTATTCTATGTATAACTTAATAGCTATTTTGTGTTAAGGAAAAAGACAGAAGCAGCAGTGGGAAAAACCTGGAGGGCTACAAGTGGAAGGCAACATTATCTATAAAACCTGTTAATAAGAAAGGGCTGTGCTGGGGAAAGCCACATATGACAGTACTCCAGTGATCAAAATTATTTATTCATTAATTCATCCATAAATAAATAAATAAATGAAATCTTACGTGCTGTGGAATTATTCAGCTGTGTAAGAACATGTTCATGAAAGACTTGGTTTGTTTGAGATACAAGACTTCCAATGAATTAGAGTAGTTCTAGCCAGAGAAATCACTGGGACCTACTGTATATTCAAAGATGTACAATCCTTTATAATGTAAATACATTGCAATGTGCAGACTTAATAGTAATATATATCTCCATGTGAATTTTAAAAATCTATGAAAAACACCAACAAATACACATGAAACAATGATAAAACATTCAAGTCTAAGATGAGAGTCCTGTGGCACCCTGAACACTAACATGTTTTATTTGTCATACACATCTGTGGACTGCATCCAACAAATTCAGACAGCAACATACATCTGTTGAAGTGGGTTGCATCCATGAACTGTCACAGGACATCGCTCTTTTTTGGTCTGTATTATAGCATACTGATTAAGTATGTTTAAGGAAACATACTGATTAAGTTTGATTAAGGAAATCAACCCTGAGTGCTCAATGGAAGGACAGATCCTGAAGCTGAGGCTCCAATACTTTGGCCATCTCATGAGAAGAGAAGATTGCCTAGAAAAGACCCTGATATTGGGAAAGTGTGAAGGCAAGAGAAGGGGACGACAGAGGACGAGATGGATGGACAGTGTCATTGAAGCTACCAACATGAATTTGACCCAACTCCGGGAGGCAGTGGAAGACAGGAGGGCCTGGCGTGCTCTGGTCCATGGGGTCACGAAGAGTTGGACATGACTTAATGATTAAACATCATCAACAACATACTAGCACAAGTACACACTGGAAAATTCAAATTCAGGCATTTACTCTTGGAAAACCTTTTGTTAAATTATTACTCATAAGCACATTAAGTTTCTACAACCTCTACAATGTGTAACATATATTCAGCCAGTTCAGCATGTGATTTTGAGAACACGGATCTCAAAAATACTCATCCATAGACTTTGCCATTACATTAATATTGTCCACATGACAATGAAATTGTGTGTGGAACTTTCCACCAGTGGGGGAGGGGGAGAATTTCTTAAAGACACCAATACACAGAATTTTACATGAAAGATTTTCTACTTAAAACAGCCACAGCAAGAACAGTAATATTCAACAGTAAAAAATAATTCAGTGTTGAACTTACGAATAATCTGTATCTGTAAAGTGTAGGTCTAAAGACAGCATGAAATTCATTTCATTAAGAGACTCTTCAATCTAGAAAAGAGATTTTGAAGAAAGCATTCATTTCTAGTAACAGAACCTATGGTTTTACTCTACATTCCTACCCCTGATGTATTTATTTAGTAACTTGAGCTGAGTATATTCTGACCTTCATTTCTCTTCAATTACAGGGATCTTCTTAATATTTATTTATGACATTTTTATACTACCCTATTTAATGAAAATCCAGTACTCTGGGCAATCATGCCAAGAGAAATCATCCCCTCACTCCCCACTTCAGAAACAAATAAAGAAAAAACTGAAAAGCTCACACTAATAATTAAATGATGGTGATTGTCCTCTACGATTGTGGTTCCCAACTTCAGGTCCCAAGATGTTCTTAGACTACAACTCCCAGAAATCCTAGCTAGCACAGGTAATGGTGAAGACTTCTGAGAGTTTTAGTCCAAGAAATCTAAGGCTGGGAAACACTGTTCTAAGATAATAAAAAAGCTACACCATGGGTCAAATCACTACCAAAGGGGAAGAATGTCCTTAAAGGCTTTTTTAAACAACTCAGTTTTTACTAGCTTCTTAAAAGTCTGGAGGTCAGAGACTTGCCAGATCTGCAATGGGAGACTATTCCAGAGTGACACAGCCACCACCAAAAAGGCCCATTTCTTAGTGGAAACCCTCTTTGCCTCTCTCGACATAGCCACCCTTAACAATAAGGTCTGGTAGAACCAGGTGGAATGAGCAGCATTTGGTATAAATGTTCTCACAGGCATGAATATCCCAAACCATTGAGGCGTTTATATGTTAACCTGGCATGGAAAGGAACAGGTGGATAATGCAGGTCAGCCAGGACTAAACAGACAGGATCTAACTTATTTGCTCCAGAGATCAACCTAGCCGCCACATTCTGAACCTGCTAATGTTCCTGTATCAGCTTCAAGGCAGCTCCATGTAGAAAACGTTATAGTCATTGATATTTGACACTACCTGTGCATGAACCAGCATTTTCAGGGACCTCCCATCTAAGTACAGGCACAACTGGGCAATCTGCTGAACCTGGCAAAAGGCAGACCTAGCTTTTTTTTGGCTGTTCCATTGAGAGTGCCAGGTCTATGAAAACTCCCAAGCTGCAAACCTGATCCCTAAGGGAGACAGTAACTGTATTCAACTTGGGGAGAGTCCCACTCAACCAGTTGAGAGGGCCCCAGACAGGAGGATCTCCATCTTGTCTAGGTTCAGTTTCAAATTACTGGCCTCTGTCCAATCCGTGATCAAGACCAGGCAGTATTCAAGGAACCAGACAGCATCCACTGCACATGAGTAAAGCAGCGGTCCCCAACCGCAGACTGGCTGAGCCTCTGAGGAAGGCAGGGCATCCCCTGTGCTTATGTGAGTGCGCATGCGCGAAGCGGTGGGGGAGTGTGTGCCCGCCAGCACCAGCATGAGTGCTCCCCCACCCCTTTGCGCATGCGGAGGAGTGCCTGAACACCCGCCCACACACCCCTTCACACGGGCACTCAGGCACATGCATGAAGGGGTAGGGGAGCTCTCACGCCAGCGTTGGCACACATGCACAAAGCAGCTGTGGGGAGGAGCATGCATGGGGGAGGGTGCGGGAGGTCTGTCTCCGCAGCCCAGTCCGGCTCAGGCCACAGACTGGCACCGGGCCGCGGACCGGGGGTTGATGACTTCTAATGTAAAGGACAGAGAGATTTGTGTGTCGTCAGCATCTGGATGACCTCTCCCAATGGCTTCACACAGATGTTGAAGAACACTGGGAAGATGGTCAACCCCTGCAGGACCCCATAACACAGGGTTCATGAGGTCAAAATAGTCTCCCTAACCTGAACCATCTGTACCTGGCCAGCAGAGTGCCAGACCTCTAACCTCTAACCCAATAGCCTATCCAGGAGGATACCGTGGTTGACAATATCAGTAGCTGCTGAGAGATCCTGATGAACCAACAAGGCTGCATCCCTCCATCAGCCTCCCTCAAAATAATAGGTTGAAACACAATAATACAATATGCTACAATAAAAATGAATAAGATAATATATAGCAAATAATAATATTCTCAAATAATATGAAATTTAAAATATCTGGTGAATATAGGAATCTGGCAGTAAGTTACAACTAAAATAGGCCCAGTGAATCAGTGGGATCCAGGGAGCAACTCCTCTGTCTGTTTCACTGATTCTATGGGCCTACCTTAGTTGTAATTTACTACTGGATTTCAGCCATTGCCTCAGGGCCCAACAATGGCCACTAAGAACCTAACTCCACTGCTTCAATGGCAGGGATGGACTCAACAACTCTGCTCAGAATAAGAACATCTACACTTCTGCTATCTCGCTTCCTTGAGCCTTCAGAAAAAAAAAGATACATATGCACAACATCAAGAGCCAGGTTCTCCCATCCACGTTCTCTAATTGAGGTCAACTAGATCAGTGGTTCTTAACCTTTGTTACTCGGATGTTTTTGAACTGCAACTCCCAGAAACCCCAGCCAGCACAGTTGGTGGTGAAGGCTTCTGGGAGTTGCAGTCCAAAACTCCTGAGTAACCTAAGGTTAAGAACCAGTGAACTAGATAATGGCTGAACATACTCCCTCTACTCAAGAGGTGGAAACCATGTATCTGACACAAAATTAACTACCCGTATTTTTTGCACCATAAGACGCACTTTTTCTCCCAAAAAACCTGGGGGGGAAAGTGCATGCGTCTTATGGAGCAAATACTGTCCCCTCCATGCCACCATCGCTGGCTTCCCAGGCCTCCGGAGGCCTCAGCAGGCCCCGTGGGGGCCTCCCCCAGGCACCATCGCTGGCTTCCCAGGCCTCCGGAGGCCTCAGCAGGCCCCATGGGGAGTCCCCCACCACCACCATCGCTGGCTTCTGAGGACCTCCAGGAGGCTTTTGACCGGTAAGGTGCTGCTTTTTACTTTTTAAAAAATGTTCTGGGTGGGTTTTGGAGGGTAGATTTGGGCTGGGGGTATGTTTCTATGTTGCTTTGTGTTTTGGTGATTTTTTTGCAGTCCCAGCATGGGACTTGCTCTGTTTATTTATTTTTACTTTATTTTTTGGTATTTAAAAATTAGTTGCTGCTTTTTACTTTTTAAAAAATGTTCTGGGTGGGTTTTGGAGGGTAGATTTGGGCTGGGGGTATGTTTCTATGTTGCTTTGTGTTTTGGTGATTCTTTTGCAGTCCCAGCATGAGACATGCTCTGTTTATTTATTTTTACTTTATTTTTTGGTATTTAAAAATTAGTTGCTGCTTTTTACTTTTTAAAAAATGTTCTGGGTGGGTTTTGGAGGGTAGATTTGGGCTGGGGGGCATGTTTCTATGTTGCTTTGTTTTTTGGTGATTTTTTTTGGCAGTCCCAGTGTGGGACTTGCTCTGTTTATATATTTTTATTTTATTTTAATTTTCAGTATTTCAAAATTAAGTGCGTCTTAACGTCCGGTGCGTCTTATGGAGCGAAAAATACGGGTATACAATTTACCAGTTGGTCTCTTCTGACCATAAATTGTTAAATTCAGGGAACTTGACATCATGCACTAGTGAGGATAATGGGGAACACAGCCACTCACAATCCTTGCTGAACACCAGGTACACTGATTTCTGCAATACCACTGCAATATTCATATAATTATGTGACTAGGATCACTAACATCCCAGGGAATTTAAAACTCTTGTTCTTTAAATTATTCACACTATAATTCTTTGAATTCTTTAAATAACTGTTAGGATTATTCTCCATCTTCTACATAGCAGCCTTCTATAGGATAGCTCTGATATATGACTTGCTGTTATTTATACATAGGAGCATGCTTATGCTCGGGTATGGAAAGAATCTGTGTGTGTAAACTGAGTTGGTTGGTATCACTGTGATGGATAAAAATCGTGTCCTTTTTGTTGTTGCACATGCTCACTGACTTTCTAGTTTGCATGGAATATATGGAGATGGTTTTGAAGTGCAAGATTGCACCTTTGAGGAATGTTGTGGGAGTGTCTATCAATATATCTGTTGCTGCACTTTTGACCCTGCTGCAGAGGAAAAGATCATGACTATATTATGCCTCATTAATCTTGGAATAAGGGAGAGCTACACAGCAGTCCTGCCTGATATGTCTTTAAGGTACTTTAAACACTTAAATATACAGAACTGGAATACAGTATTACCTTCCTTTCATCCAACAGCATTTTGACTTTGAAGATCATAACATCATTCACAGACACTTCTTCATTTTTATAGAGAATTTGAAAGGTTTTACTGCAGATTACATTGTCATGGGCTGATGCTGGAAAGGCAAGATCAGCAGCTGAAATCAATAAAATATTAAAAACTAATTATGATTCAGAACATCAAAACATTGCCTCTAATGATTTTAAATGTGGGTAATAGCAGTAGTTTTATTATTCTTACACAATGTGGTCAAATGAAAATAGTCATTCAGATAATTAAAAACCTGTTGTTAAGCAAATAAGTAAATGCTTTAATTTAAGTTCGGAGATAACAGTGGAACTTGCAAACCAAATCCAGCTCTGAGTGTATAACTCCAGGGAAGAAATAAATTCAATTGAGTCAGTAAGCAACAAGATGCAGAGTTATTATAAAGGAAAATGCAGTAGAAGTGGGGAACAGCTTTAAATGGCACTTACACTTGATCTTTTTTCTTCCCCCCTCCACAAACAGTCCACTGAAACTTCAATAACAATGGGGCACCTTAAAGACTATTAAGTTCTGCTGGTTTAAACCTTTGCAGATTTCAGCCCACATCTCAAATGCACATAATACAGCGTCAGCCAGCAGACAGTTAATCACAGGGAGAAGGAGGGACATGAGATGTAGCATAAAATGCAAAAGGTCCCAGCATGTTAATGACCTAAAGCAGGAACAGAGAACTTTATGAGCCTGAGAGCAAAACTTTTGTCCCAAGCACCCATAATGGGTTGTTGTTGTTGTTTAGTCGTTAAGTCATGTCCGATTCTTCGTGACCCCATGGACCAGAGCACGCTGCGCCCTCCTGTCTTCCATTGCCTCCCGGAGTTGAGTCACATTGATGTTGGTAGCTTCGATGACACTGTCCAACCATCTCGTCCTCTGTCGTCCCCTTCTCCTCTTGCCTTCACACTTTCCTAACGTCAGGGTCTTTTCCAGGGAGATTTCTCTTCTCATCAGATGGCTAAAGTATTGGAGCCTCAGCTTCAGGATCTGTCCTTCCAGTGAGCACTCAGGGTTGATTTCCTTCAAAATGGATAGGTTTGTTCTCCTTGCAGTCCAGGGGACTCTCAAGAGTCTCCTCCAGCACAATTCAATAGCATCAATTATTCTGTGGTCAGCCCCCTTTATGGGCCAGCTCTTGCTTCCATACATCACTACTGGAAAAACCATAGTTTTAACTATTCTTTTTGTTGGCAAGGTGATGTCTCTGCTTTTTAAGATGTTGTCTAGGTTTGTCATTGCTTTCCTCCCAAGAAGCAGGTGTCTTTTAATTTTGTGGCTGCTGTCCCCATCTGCAGTGATCATGGAGCCCAAGAAAGTAAAATCTGTCACTGCCTCCATATCTTCCCCTTCTATTTGCCAGGAGGAGATGGGACCAGTGGCCATGATCTTAGTTTATTTGATGTTGAGCTTCAAACCATTTTTTTGCGCTCTCCTCTTTCACCCTCATTAAGAGGTGTGACATTCACCTCTATGAAGCACCTACTTTTTGTGCCCTCACAAAGGTTCCCATCTTTGTTTCCCTCACTGCCACCAGTGGATTACCTCCATCCACAAGACTAAAGATGTTTGTGCAAGCACATGTCTGGTAATTGCAAACAGAACTTATTTATTGAAGTGTAGCAAAGTTAATAATGGGGAGCCCCCTCAGCCCGGTTATAACAAACATCTACATGGAGCATTTTGAAAAACTGGCCCTGGCTTCGGTACCCCGGTACCATCTCAACAGCATCCACTCAAATATACAATTCACCATGGAAAAAGAAATATAGGGTAAACTCCAGTTCTTAGATGTCATGGTTGTATGCAAAACTGACCTCCGATTGGGATAAAGGGTCTACAGAAAACCCACCCACACAGACTGGTACCTACACAAAAACTCCAACCACCACCCACAACAAAAAAAGAGGCATAATCAAAACGCTAGTAGACCATGCAAATTAGAACTGTGAAGCTCAATTTCTCATTACCGAACTCAACCATCTGAATTGGGCCTAACTACCAAGTATTTTCAGTGGGATAGCAAGTTCTATTTGTGATGATTTGTGTTTTTATGTGTATTAGAATGGGATATGTAGTCCTAAGATTGTCCCAATAGCATCCATTTTGATTTGAAGTCTGTTCTGTAGTAGGAAAGTTTTACATGCTGTTTCAGAGAAGCTTCGCTCTCTGGTTATCTCGTTGCTAAGCTGAGTAGAGAGCAGAGACTTTCGTAGTCAAAATAATTCTGCCACAAAGAATGATAACAACTGAAGCTCCATGAGAAAGTTAGGCGGGACAACAAGACCCAGGAGGCATTCTGGGAAGAAGAAGGAAGTT